TTCTTCAGTCACCCAGAGTAGAATGTTCTTACTTTCCGAAACTGTAGAGGAGGACTGGGGCAGTTACAGGGCAGGTTTGAGATCCAGAGTCTCAAGACTGACCCCAAAACTCAGTTTCCTTTTGTGTAAAGTGGGGATAATAAAACCTCCTATCTCAGAGAGAGTAGTTATAGGGATCAAAGGGGAAAATATATGTCAAAATATGATTTAATCCATAAGGTGCTATCTATATATATTTAAAGAATCAGATCAGGCCAGAAATATCAAGAATACTTGCAAAACCTGCAGATTGTTAGAGCAGAGAAGACTTGATAACATGAAGTCCGTATACCTTTGAATGTTGAAGAAATGGAGATCCATTGTTTGCTTATATTAATGTGCTGAAAGAACCTTATAGACAGTGTTGACCGTCAGTTTAGTTCAGTTCAGTCGCTCAGTCATGTTTGACTCTTTGCGACCCCATGAACTGCAGCACACCAGGCCTCCCTGTCCATCACCAACTCCTGGAGTTTACTTGAACTCATGTCCATTGAGTCGGTGATGCTATCCAGCCATCTCATCCTCTGTCGTCTCCTTCTCCTGCCTTCAATCTTTCCCAGCATCAGGGCCTTCCAAAATGAGTCTGTTCTTTGCATTAGGTGGCCAAAGTATTGGAGTTTCAGCTTCAGCGTCAATCCTTCCAATGAATGTTCAGGACTGATTTCCTTTAGGATGGACTGGTTGGATCTCCTTGCAGTCCCAAGGACTCTCAATAGTCTTCTCCAACACCATAGTTCAAAAGCATCAATTCCTTGGTGCTCAGCTTTCTTTTTAGTCCAACTCTCACATCCATACATGACTACTGGAAAAACCATAGCTTTGACCAGATAGACCTTTGTCGGCAAAGTAATGTCTCTGCTTTTTAACTTGCTGTCTATGTTGGTCATCACTTTTCTTCCAAGGATAAGCGTCTTTTAATTTCATGGCTACAGTCATCATCTGCAGTGATTTTGGAGCCCAAAAAATTAAGTCTGCCACCATTTCCACTGTTTCCCTATCTATTTGCCAAGAAGTGATGGGACCAGATGCCATGATCTTAGTTTTTTGAATGTTGAGCTTTAAGCCAGCTTTTTCACTCTCCTCTTTCACTTTCATCAAGAGGCTCTTTAGTTTTTCTTTGCTTTCTGCCATAAGGGTGCTGTCATCTGCATATCTGAGGTTATTGATATTTCTCCTGGCAATCTTGATTTTAACTTGTACTTCATCCAGCCCAGCATTTCACATGATGTACTCTGGATATAAGTTAAATAAGCAGGGTGACAATATGCAGCCTTGATGTGCTCCTTTGTCTTTTGGGATCAGTCTGTTGTTCCAAGTCCAGTTCTAACTCTTCCTTCCTGGCCTGCATACAGATTTCTCAAGGGGTAGGTCAGTGGTTGACAATAGGAGATGCTTACATTTGCTGAGCACTGAAAGTTGGCTCTAAGATAATTGCTTTTCAGAGCTTTCCAAGTAGGATATGGTTTTCAAGGTACTTGCACAAGGGCATCTGCCAAAGGGTTAAGGGGTTAGAAATTTGGCTCATGGCCTGTTTACCAGGCTGTGTGCCTTTGGAGCAATGTTTGCCCAGAGATTCACCTTTTATTAATTTGGCTGAAGTTATCCTATGGTATGGCAGGGGCCTGGTCTTGATCCATGGGGTTCTCAGCCAACCGCCCCTGGCTGATAGCAACTCTGCTCTTCTGGGCAGTGTCTTGGCAGCAGGCTGAATGCCATCCCTGGAGGACCAGTTGCTCTCCTGCCTTTTAGGGCATGGTCAATCACTGCAAACAGGATATGGCCAATCTTTTCTTCTATCCACTTCCCATCCCAAACCACACTTTCGTTGCTTCAGAGAAAAGAAGTTATTAGTGGCAGACAGTTTGCACCAGCAGGCGGTCTTCCTCTGGGTTTTTAGGCCTGAAGCTTATGGGACTCTGAATGTTCACATTCTCTGCTTCACCTATGGAAGCTCATGTTCATATGGCCTCTGTTATTCTGACACACGGAAAAATTAACACAGAAACAACCTCCTGAATTTAACCACGGCCACCTTCACTGTGGTTCCTTTCTGGGCTTTTGACGTGACTCAGCTCAGTAACATGGGGGCCAGGGAAGCGCCCCTCTCTCCTTAATGGGCACTGGCCAGTGATGCTTGTAGGCTGAGCAACAACCTGTTCCAAGTGGTCAGTGACAGCCATCACTGCAGTTCAGTGGGAGGCCTTCTTGTGGTTTGAATTGTTTCTCGATAAAGACTCAAAGCAAGGTCCAGCGATTCCCCAACCCTTCTTCCATAGGATTCTGGGTTTGACTGTGTTTGTAGGTTCCTTGTCCTTTCCGGTTTCCTCTCTGGCTCAGTGGTAAAGAATCTGCCTGCCAGTGCTGAAGACGCAGGAGACGGGGTTCGCTCCCTGAGTCAGGAAGAGTCCCTGGAGAAGGAAATGACTCCCCACTCCAGTATTCTTGCCTGCAAAATTCCATGGACAGGAGAGCCTGGTGTGCTGCAGTCTGTGGGGTTGCAAAGAGTTGGACATGATTGAGTGACTGAGCACCCACTGATAAAGCTAATTCACATATTAGGACGCATGAAAAGGAAGCTGCCCTAGTGGCCCGGTCCACATCCCAAATCTAAACCACAGTCCATATGCACGTGTGGGAGATGCTTGTCAAGGAGCCCTCACGCACACCAGTTGCAAGCCTCCAGCTCAGCTTGCTTCCTTGGTGGCTCAGATGGTAAAGAATCTGCTGGAGATGTGGGTTCGATCCCTGAGTTGGGAAGATCCCCTGGAGGAGGGCATGGCAACCCACTGCAGTATTCTTGCCTGGAAAATCCCATGGACAGAGGAGCCTGGCGGGCGACAGTCCATGGGGTCGTAAAGAGTTGGACATGACTAGCACCTCGCCCTAGAAAATAGGACCTGCTCGCTTTGTAAGGAAATCTCTGACCTCCTAGTCCGTCGTGCCCTTTTTCGATGATGCTGCTTCTAATGTTCAATCAAACTCATTCTTGCCCCAAATCTAAGAGTGGTCCTTTGCTTAGATGCCCTCTACTCCCTCAGACCATGGATTGTGTTCCCTTGAATAAAGGACAGCCAGCACATCACGAAATGTTTTGTTTTGCCAGTAACCCCCTTCCACCTCCCCCAGATACCACATCATACTTAAATGACGAGTTGGGAGGCCTCTGCTGGGTTGTGTCCCACTCTTTGTCATCCCTGCTCCCCTTGTAAGTTTCTGAATGAGGTGCTTCTGGAAAGGGGACGGTAAGAGGGAAAGTAAGGTGTCTTTTTCTCTCCCAAAAGCCTGAGTATAAGTGTGCTTGGGGAGGGAATGAGGGATGGGTGGGAGAGAGTGGTGTGAACTTGAACTGAACTCTAGCTGACCATAGTGTATCAATTTGCAGCTCACGGCAAGGCTCTGGAACACTCATTAGGAAGCCCTTATCTAGCTGTGCTTGCTCCTGGGAGCCTTGTTACAGTAACAAGCACTTTGAGTCCAGACCTTCCTTATACTGGTTCTTCCTCACCCTTAAGCAAATCAGTGAACTTTGGTGAGCCTCAGTTTCACCATCTTCATATTATCGAAAGCATTGATAATAATGCCAGCTGGGTTATTGTGAAGATTATACTGAAGGAAGTGACAGGCAAAAACAAGATGCTCGTATTGCTCTAGCTCATTGAATCTAAGATGCTAGTGATTAGAAGATGCATCGTTATTTTAAATACCACAAAGGAAGAAAAAAAAATCCTGTCAATTATACCATAGCACATACCTTTCTTATCCTGTAAACTGTTTCTACACATTGAAAGAGATTTTGGGGAGGTTGCTTCAGGGAGATTTTTCTCCTAAGTCATTCTTAGGCATATATAAAAAGGAAATATAAGTGAATATACATTAAGATGTTTTAAAATTTCCTGACAGTCTTAGTGCATTGCTGCTGAGTCATTTGTGAAGGCATTTAGTGACATCTGTGTGTTTTCTGGACAATCTTGCCTCTCTGTCGTCGTGTGCATTGGGGGTATAGCATTTCTGAAAGAGGGCTTCGCCTTGCCTTCTTTCAAGCCTCTGACCCCAGCTCTCTTTTATTTCCTAGGTTTGGGCTTATAAGGGGAGAGAGCATGAGAAACACTTTGCCCCTTCTTAGGAACTGTCCTTTCTGTTTAAACAAACTTCAGGTGGATGGTTTGCCTGAGAAATGGTTGTCAGGAGGGGTCCTCTGTGTGTGTGTGACTGGGCAAATAGTTATAATGACATAAGTCAAGTTAATAGGAGAAAACCAAATTTAATTGCTTACTAAATTTGCAATTTAATAAGAAATACACATAATGTGAGAGATTCCAGATAAAATGCGGGTCGGATATAATGAGGTATATTTGTCCTCCTGGACTAAGGAGAAGCAGGTAGGGCTCTGGGACTTCAAAGGGAAGGAAGGCAATTCACAGGAAGATGAAAAAGAGCCACCGTTTGGAAAATGGATGTTTGCTATGTCCTAAGGAGACAGTGGGACCCACAGAGTTTTAACAAGCAGACTTTGCTAGGTTCCTCCATGTCTGCCACACTTAGCTCATATTATATTGCATTTATTCATGTTGATAGCTGTCTTCCTCAGACAGGTCCTCTATCTAAATCCTTTTCGGCAGTTCGAGGGACGGACAGAGTTTCATCCTGAGTCCTTTGGACTTTGTTTTCATCTTGAAATAATCCACATGCCAGAGTGGCACATCTTGGGGTGTCCTGCCCTGAACCCCGCTGTGACCCTGGGGTGTTACCAAGATAGGCTTCCCATTGCCATGAATAAATGATAGAGATAACTTTGTGTGTTTCTGCATTTACCTATTCTTTTCTTCCTTCCTGTCTCTTTTCTGTTTTTCCTTTGAAGTTCTGAGGCCAAATCTGGCTCCTAAGAAACACAAAGGAAGCCCGCAGCCAAGACCTCTCAGGGCTCTCTACGCAGCCTGCCTGCACCCACTGTGTGAGGCGGAATGGCGCCCCCCACAGGCGCACTCGTTTCATTGCTGCTGCTGGTGACCTTTACAGGTAGGAAACCGTTACCCTGGAGACGCCAGCCTCACCCGTGAACTTCCTCTCTGACTTAAGCAACTCAGATCAACCTGAGGAGATGAAGGTGCTGTGTGTTTGCTTTCCAACAGACTTATTTCACATATAAAAAGGAAGACCTCGTGCATAAGTGGTTTCTGGAAACAGGCATTTAACTTTTTTGTCATGACTATTTTGGGGAAAAGAAAATCACATTTCATATATACTGGGAAAACTTCATGTATTTATTTCAAAGAACCACATAGGAGTAGATCTTTTTTGGAAAGCAAATAACAGGCTTTTTTCTATCTTAAATCTTTATTTTCCTATGGTCTGTTTACTTCTTGTGGACACACCATGGCTTAAAATCCTTGGTCAGCATCAGCTCTGGTGATCCATGCCCCATAGGCCAGCCCGACCCCTTTGAAGACTTACCGAAGACTGAGGATGGACATATGGCTAGGGAAACTGGTTTTATATCCAGGGTTTGTCACAGTGTGGTAAAACCACACCGAGGTTTATCTGGGAGTGACCCTTGTTAAAATGTGTCTTCTTAGGCCCCATCCAGACCTACTGAATCAGAACTCCTAGTGGGTGTGACTCAGGAGCCTGAAGCATCTTAATTTTAAGCAGCACAGTTTTAGGTCATACAAGGGCCACTTGAGGAAATACTACAGTCAGGAAAGCTTTATCATTTCCTGCATATTACTCTCCTCACGCCAAACATCCATCTTATTAAACTCACCACTGCTTAGTATACAAGACAAAATGATACTTTATTCCATGCGTGATGTACTCTGTACTCTGGAAAATGCTGTCATTAATGTTTGAGCCCTTTTTTCCCCTCTCAAATCCCTGCCTTTTCACTGCTTTTTGTCATTTTCTTACGGGGTATTTTTCATTTATTCAAAATTCCTGGGTTAACTGAGCCCCAGTAATGTTATTTAGGGCTTGTCTGGCTTTTCTCTTTATCCTCTTTGCCTTTGACAAGATGCTAACCATTGATTTTGTTGACTTGTCAACAACCGTGGAGTGCTTACTATGTTTATGGATTGGACTGGGGATTTGTAGAGGGGACAAACCTGTGAGTGTTCTTCTGTCGCTTCAGGAACTTTCTTGAGTGAGTCTAATAGATGGTTTAGTTGTTGGGATACCCACCTTCTCAAACTTCTTTATTTAATATTCAGATCCACTCTTAAGGTATGTGTATCTAAACAGCCCGTTCAGGTGATTTTTTGCAGAACAAAATGATGATCTGTCCCAGAGGTTTCTGGAGACCACCACCTCCAACCTGAGGGAAAAGTGCTTTAAGTTTTTTGTTGAAGACTTCTGCCAAGCTTCTCAACCACATGTAACAATTTTCTTGTTCTAGGATCACAGCCTTTTTCATATTTAGTGGTTTCTTTGACACAATTTTACACGTTGACTTTTAAGCTTCTGGTATCCAAAGCCAGAAATGAAACATGATAGTTCTTATGAATCATATTTTTCAAAAGGATTGTTCAGTTCATATTTTTCAAAAGGATTGTTCAGTTCATATTTTTCAAAAGGATTGTTCAGTTGTTCAAGGGAAAATGTATCCTGCCAATTGTGTTTGAAAGAAATTTCTAGCTTGGGTCTTCATTTAAAGGCTGCTTCTTTTAAAGGGATGTAGTGATATCTTTGGGAGAAGGCAATGACAGCCCACTCCTGTACTCTTGCCTGGGAAATCCCATGGACGGAGGAGCCTGGTGGGCTGCAGTCCATGGGGTCGCTAAGACCCCAGCTGAGCAACTTCACTTTCACTTTTCACTTTCATGCATTGGAGAGGGAAATGGCAACTCACTCCAGTGTTCTTGCCTGGAGAATCCCAGGGATGGGGGAGCCTGGTGGGCTGCTGTCTATGGGGTTGTATGACTGAAACGACTTAGCAGCAGCAATGATATCTTTACAAGTAAAGACAGTATTTTTGAAAGTAGAGCTTGGAGTTATAGATTACCTACCTATTTTATCCCCTTTATCATCTCTTGACCTTGACTGTTTAATCATGTTCAGCACAGAGTATTTCCCCCTCTCCATATCTGATAAAAGATTAAGCTTTTCTTTAGAAAATAAAAGGCTAAAACTATTAAAGTGATTTTTTTAAAAAGTAGCTTTGGTTTGAGAAAATATCATTTCAGTCGAAATAAAGCAGTTTGCCTGCTTATTTACTGGGAAAGATATATATTTATATCTAATTCTTATTGGATGAGACCAGTTAGACTAATATTGAGCTAATATTTGGCACTGAATGATTCTTAAAAATTTATAATAGTGATGATGTGTATACAGGTGAAAAAAAGAAATGATTCTTGTTTTGATATGGACCATTTTTTAAAGGTCTGTGTTGAATTTGTACAGTGTTGCTTCTCATTTATGCTTTGGTTTTTTGGTTGGGAGACATGTGGGGTCTTAACTCCCTGATCAGAGATGGAACTTGTGCCCCTGCCAAAGGACTGCCAGGGAAGTCCCAAACAACATGAATTCTTGTACTGTGTTTAACCATTTCTCTTACCTCCAGTTAGAAGTCATGTCTAACTGTCATTATGAAAAATGTAACAGTTATTAAGAGAATGATCAGTGATGAGCACTCACTAGAAAGATCTTTTGCTCTTTGGAGTTCAACAGAACCGCATTCCTGGAACTGTATGTGATGAGGGACCAATTTGTTTCTATTTCCAATCCACCACAGACAGACTCTTTGGTAAAATATCAGCAACAAGCTGTCTACTGAAAGAAAAACATGCAATGCAAGAATTGTAGGTTTCAGTTTTATTCGGGGACCTTCCTGAGGACTATAGTCCAGGCAACAGCGTCTCAGTAGGTCTGAGGGAACTGCTCTGAAAAGCTGGGAGAAGAAGCCCGTATGTATATGATTTGGGGCAAGAGAATGCGTGTAGTCAAGCACACCTCTTGGTACACCACTGCGGCTAGTCACAAGGAACAGGTATCTCATCTGACAATTTTAGTGCTTTTCTATGTATGGGAAGATGCAAGAATCTGAGCTCATTAAAATTCTTCCTGAGACATGTGTCCAACTATCTAAGGGGCCTGTTTTTGCAAAGCACAGAGTGCCTCATCCTGCTTTTCATCCTGAATTCCTTTCTGGGTACACTGTCTGTTAGTGACTGCAGTGGGCAGTGACTTCATCCTTGTAGAACCGAATGGTGGGCAACATTCTTTATCTTTTTTTAATATTTTTATTGGAGTGTAGTTGATTTACAATGTTGTTAGTATCTGCTGTAGAGCAGACTGAATCAGTTACACATATATCCCCTCTTTCTTTAGATTTTATCGCCACATAGGTCATCATAGTATTGAGTAGAGTTCCCTGCACCATACAGTAGGTTCTTAATAGTTATCTGTTTTATATATGTTAGTTGTGGATATGTCAATCCCAGTCTCTGAGTGTATCCCTCCCTCTCTTCCCCCGCTTGGTAACTGGGTTTGTTTTCTACATCTATGACTGTTTTGTAGACAGGTTCATTTGTACCATCTTTTAGATTCCAGTATCTGCTTGTTTTACAACATACAAAAGGAGAAAAGTGATTTTGTCCTTGGGTGCCAGGGGATGTCAGATTGCTACCAAGTTTTCTAAAAGCCCCGGATTCTCTTATCATGGCCTGCCCCACTGTGTCTGCAGATCACACTTAGGTAGCACCACTCTTCTGCCTACTGATTTGCCAGTTGGCAACGTTTGTGGTTCATTATTTAGAATCGGCTTAAAGCTAGTTGTTCCAGACCTATATTTAGGACAAGTTTTTCTCTCTTTTGATAATTCCCTGTCATCAGAATAAGCTGAGATGTTTAAAAATTCAGTTAACAGCAACAATATGACGTTGTTCCTGAAGTAAACCTTTGTAACTGGATTTTGGGTGAGGAACAAAATGTTACAAACAGTATAAAAGCGATACACACATAGAAAAGAACGCCTCTCTTCAGTAAGTGGAGTAGCACCATATAAAGAAGATGGAAGATGAGATGGACAGATGGAAGAATCTATGGTGGATGGGTTGGGGTGGAAGGGTGCGAGGACAGGTGTATAGATGGGGGTGTTGATGGGTGGGCTGTATGATAAGGCAGCGGACTTCCTGTAGCAGATGCTGGTGGTTTATTTGCTTGCCAGAAGTGACCTGCCTGGCTTCCTTATTGGTTACTGGTATGTTTGCAGGTTGTGCCTGGACGCAGTGCAGTGAGGGGAGGACGTATTCCAATGCCATCATCTCTCCTAACTTGGAAACTAGCAAAATCATGCCGGTGCCTCAGACCACCCCCTTGGGGGACTGCACATCCGCCTGCTGCGACCTGTCCAGCTGCGACCTGGCTTGGTGGTTTGAGGGCCGCTGCTACCTGGTGAGCTGCCCGCACAAAGAGAGCTGCGAGCCCAAGAAGATGGGCTCCATCAGGTCTTACCTGACCTTTGTGCTCAGGCCCGCCCAGAGGCCCGCAGCACTGCGGGACTACGGGGTGGTGATGCTGAACAGGGGCGCCCCGTCGGGAATCTGGGGGGACTCACCTGAGGATATCAGGAAGGACCTGCCCTTCCTGGGCGAGGATCGGGGCCTGGACATGTCTGAGTACTCGGATGACTACAGGGAGCTGAAGCAGAACCTCTTCCAGCCGGTCAGCAAGCAGGAGCCCCGGGGGACCGCCGAGTTCACGGACTGGGGCTTGCTGCCCGGAGGTGAGGGAGGTTTCAACTTCTCTGCTGGAGACAGCCCCGCAGCACCAGCGGAGAAGCAGCCGGAGGACCCAGGGCTCCATGAGCTGAATGAGTCGGCGTGGACCCCGGCCCCGAAACCCTCTCCGGAGAGGTTGTTGCTTCCCTTGGTCACTGCCCCACCTCCAGGAGAAGTGGAGAGAGAGACTTCTCAGCTCCATGGGCAAGCCGGCACCAGCTCTGGGAAAGAGGTGGGTGTGGCTGGTGTGTGTGTGAGACGGGAGGGGCTGAGTTCACCTTGGAGCCAGGCTCAGTGGTGAAGAGCCCGCCTGCCGCCTGCCGATGTAGGAGGCGCCTCCTTGGATCAGGGAAGATCCCCTGGAGAAGGAAATGGCCACTCACTCCAGTACTCTTGCCCGGAAAATCCCCTGGACAGAGGAGCTACAGTCCATGGGGTCACCAAGAGTCAGACACGACTTAGCAACTAAACAACAACAGCCTCATTAGGTGGAGGACATGAGAAGATTCCTCCTAAGGGCACCTGTTAAGGTATTGGCAAGAAAGATGGCTCTCAGAACCTTCCAGACCTAACATCTTGTTCCTCTTTTGGGGCCTCGTGACCAGACTGTTTAAAAGAGCAAATAGTTCTTTTGCCTTCACAAGTCAGCCACCTAGTGATGATTTAGCATTTCTCCCTTGAGTTGCCTCTACTGGTATCTAAGATGAATGAGGGTTTTTTAAACGTTTCCAGAGCCAGCCCATATAACGCAGCATGTATAGACAGAGGCTTTGTAGATCTCTTGTGGTAGGTTTTGAGGAGCAGAAAACAATTTTTTCTTCTAAGTTTTTTTTTCTCCTGGTTAATAGGAGAAAAACAGATTTACTTTTCATGTGTAGGAGACCCCATAAAAATATGAGACATGACCAAAGAAGGAAAGCTTTCTGTTTTTTAAACAAAGGAACAATAAATCTGTGAAGAATTGACAAGCCAAAGAGGAAGAGGTTTAGGCTTGGGGCAGTAAATTGGTGACAAAATATCTGTTAAAGATAAATATCTGTTAAAAAATTAAGCTGAAGCATATTAACATTGTTAAGAGTTTGAACAAAAATGCATTCAAATCAGGCAGCATCCAGGATAGCAGATAGAAAGGAGTTCTGAGGAGCTGTACAAAATGAAAGACATTTTTAGGCAGAAGGGAGTTGGCAACAAGGAGATTATATAAGGCAGGCAAGTGGGTTGATTATTGCAAGATTACTTTCCTTTAAGGGGCAGTGGGAGTTTATCAAGCAGATTACCTTAAGATTATTCCTGATTGACTGGTTTAAGCTTCCATTTCTGGGAGAGCTGAAACTGTAAATCATGCTTTGTGGACAAAATAAGTGACTCTATTTTGGGCCTGTTGTTTTAACACAAGGTTTGTTTATTCAGCCTTCTCAGCCCTCAATTTCTTCTCTCTGGTGAAAAGGTTACCTTCTATCCTCCTGGTACAATGCTTTATTTTCCACTGAAATACAAATTTCCCCCTACAGTCACAGTCAAATTTTTTTGAGCTGCATTAAGTTGTAGATAATCCTTGAAAGGAAAGGTCCCTTTCCCGTGGAGATTTGTCTCTTGCTTTCAGGGGGACAGAAGAGGGGTCAGAGTGTTCTTTTTACACCGACAGTTTCCCAACTACCTTTAATTCGAAATAATCAGTTTGCCGGAGTGTCTTATTTGGGGATGATATATTCTCAACCCCCTGCAGTTTCTTCAAGACCCAACAGGTTCTGAGGTTGCTAGAAATTCACTAGTGACATGAATCGGTTGGATTGGCGGAGCAAGATACTAAGGAGAGGACATAAACTGTATGGAACTTTCCATGAAAAACACAGGTGAAAAGAATGGGGACCTTTAGGAGAGAAGACGTACCAAGGCAGAGAGAAGGTTCAAGTGCTAAGAGCAGGAGATCAGGGAGGTAGACTCGGAGGCTGCCCTGTGGGGAGAACACTTGAGAGTCCAGAGGCTCCTCGCTTGGGAGAGGTCAGGACTGGGTGAGATGCAGTGAGCGAGTTGATCAGGGGAAGCCAAATGCAGCTGGCAGTAGTGACTCGAGGGCAGGTCGTGGGAGAATTTAGTGTATTCCAAGGTACAAGAGGGCGCATCAGAAGACAAAGGAACATAAACCAATTAAGGCTTCTTTATTAAAAAAAAAAGAATGTTATTTAAGATATCAGTGCTTAAGTTAGAGTAAGTAAGGAAAGCTGGATTGAATTGACTGTGTATTATAATCTCAACCATTAAAAATTGCTAACCAGTCTTTTAAGTAGTGATATTATCAGAAGTGGTTTTTTTTCCGCTTTGGTGTATGTTTCTTTCAAAGTTTCCGTATTTTTCTGTCTTTGTAATTGTCTTAAACACTTTAAGACTTTCCATTAAAAAATAAAGGATCACAGGTTAACTGTGTTCTTTTCCCCCACCAAGTATTAACACCTTTCACCTTCTTTTATGTGGCTAAGTGGACCACAGAAGTGAGTAGCTGTGTTTTCAATAAACCCCAGTGCCCCCTTCTCCAGTTAATGTTTGAGTTACAACTTTTCTTTCTGTGAATTTCGCACTCCAACTCTGCCTTTTGGTCCCTTGTCTTATTAGCCTGAGTTTTACTGACCTGGCTCTACTCAACCTTGTTTCCCCTCTAACAACTTATCCTTGTGATTGATCGCCTAGGTCCTAATGCCATCCCATGATCCTCCTCCAGCCAGCCTGGAGGTCAGCCCGGCCACTGTGGAGAAGAGCCCGGTTCTCACAGTCACCCCGTGGAGCAGAGAGCATAGCATTCCAACCCTTTCCACCAGCACCATCCCATCCGAGCAACCCAGACCTGCTCCTACTGCTCCCAGGACAGGTAAGTTAAAAAACACACCTGGAAGAAATGTGCTGAAGATGTGCTGTATTCATACTATATTCTATATTCATATACTGTGAATACCATATTCATAGTAGCGACAACTTATAAAGTTTGCTCGTTCCCTCTGGGCACGTTGTTGAGCATCTGTTGTTTGCCAGAAATAGTGCTAGGTGCTGGGAATTAAAAAAATGAATAGATATTTTCTTTTCCCTCCATGAGTCTATGAGCTAGAGGACCAGTCTAACAGATAAATAGATGGTTTGATACAAGATGGCAAACAGTATGGCAATACAGTATCTCATACAATATGCTGTGAGAGACTGCCGTGGGAGCAGAGGACGCTGAGGTATATAAACACCTGGAACTGAAAATTAGCTGAGTGGTTGGGCTGAAGATAAAGAGCTAGATGTCACTGGTGGAGAGGTGATCGTTGAAGGCTGTCCAGGGAGAGTAGGGAGGTGAGCTGGGGAGAGACCTGAGGGGTGGAACATTGGGGTTGCCCTCTGTTAGGAGCTGGGGGAGCAGAAGGAGCCTACGGAGCTGGCCAGATGGCCATGGTTGAGAGGTAGGAGAGAGAGAAAGCAGACATGGACTGACGGAAGGAGAGAGGAGAGGGTTCCACGTTGGAAGCCGAGTGATGAGAGGGCTGTGTGTCATAGGAGGACTGAAAAACTCCCATTAGATTTAATACTCAAGAAGTTACTGGAGACTTTTGTCATGCTTCCTGAGCCTTTCTGTGGGTGATCTCCTTTCAGGATTCCCCTCTCTTCTTCTGGGCTTCCCTGGTAGCTCAGTTGGTAAAGAATCTGCCTGCAATGCAGGAGACCCTGGTTCAATTCCTGGGTCAGGAAGATCCCTTGGAGAAGGGACAGGCTCCCCACTCCAGTTTATTCTTGGGCTTCTCTGGTGGCTCAGCTGGTACAGAATCCGCCTGCAATGTGGGAGACCTGGGTTTGATCCCTGGGTTGGGAAGATCGCCTGGAGAAGGGAACGGCTACCCACTCCAGTATTCTGGCCTGGAGAATTCCATGGACTGTTTAGGGGTCGAGAAGAGTCGGACACGACTGAGCCATCTTCACTTTCACTCTCTTCTTTGGTTATTACTTTGATCCTGAGCTTCAGGAGAGAGGAGGACAATGGTGGAGGAGATGCTGGATAGTACTATAATGAAAAGGAAGCTGGCCTGGGAATTAGCATCCTTGGGTTCTAATAGCATCTATTGCCTAGAGAGCTTAGAGGATGAAGTGAATTGATCATTTTAAAGCCCTTGGCAGTGTTCAATCTGGTAAATAAGCAGCTGTTGAAATGAATACATTTAAATTAGTTAAATATCTGTTGCTAGTGATCCATATGATCTTGGGCAACTCACATTGCCTTTCTAGGGCTCAATTTCTAAAGTTGGAACCAGTGTCCCTTCTTAGTTCACAATTGCTGATCTTTCTTACAAAGAGTCAGTGACAGGGAAGAGGAGCCAGAGAGGGCAGTGAACCCTCTGTAGCTGGTCTAGGAAGGCACTCAAGGGACTGAATACAGACCAGGAGGAGAAAAGTGGATTTAAATGATCCACGTGTCCCTCTAACATCTCCAAGTAGCTGGGACCTCTAGGGAGCACTCAGCTGTTTGTTTTTTTTTTTAATCTTTGCTTTTCTCTGTGTGATATCTTGACCTATCTCAATTGTGTTTTACAAGTGAGGCTGATGTCCTGTTGAGTCCAGTCAATTGAATGTATCAATGTAATCTTGGCTATAGAGCAAGGAACCATTGTTCTGAATGCTGATTTAGTAAGAATGGATGTGCCTACTGCTTGAGTTAGAATAGCCTTTTTACCACTGAGGTTGCCTGGATTTTCTCCTGGAAATGTTCTAAGAGCAAGGCCATTGCAGCAGTGCATGGGGTTAGTATCAGAAGAACTGAGTGGTGTATAAATAATGATTCAGAAATACTTATGATCACACTCCCTCTTTTTATGACTAAAAATAGCACCTACCAGAGAGTCAAGCAAAGCTGGTAGCAAGAGAAAAAAATAGCCCCGATCTGCAGTAGCCACCTGTTTCATACAACTCTTGTCACTTGACAACCTTGCCCAGTCAGCCTGAAGCGTTATTTTCCCCACAGTGTCTCCTCACAGAGACAGTTTTAAACGGATGAGATCTGTTCTGCAGCCTAATATGGGGTATACAGTTCAGTTACTAGCCAGAGGGGGAAAGGTATCCTTGATAAAGTCAGATGAAGAACTATTACAGAAATGTGTTATTTTATTTCATGGATACGAAAAAAAGTCTGTTATAGGACAGTAATGTAGCATCGTTAACGTGTGTGATGAAATGTACTATTTCTAATTAACTTTCAGTGAAACAACTCATGGTGTCTGCTGGCGAGAACCGAGTCATAACTTCCCCGGAAGATGAAGTTGAGCTGAAGGCTTCGGTTGTGCCGGCGCCGCCTGCAGGTGAGGCGTTGACTTTCCTCTGGGACCACTGGGCTTCCTTGCTGGCTCAGACTGTCGTGTGGAGAGAGCCGGGTTCGACGCCTGGGTCGGGAAGATCCCCTGGAGGATGGAATGGCTACCTACTCCAGTATTCTTGCCTGGAGAATTGCGTGGAGAAGTCCACGGGGTCGCAGAGTCGGAGACGACTAAGCGACTAACACACTGGGACCAGTAGGGGGCGCCTTAGCTGGCGTATCCTCAAGGAGGCTTTACTGGCTTTTTTTTTTACAGCTTGGATTCCTTTTCACAACCTGGAAATGTCACTCTCGAGGCTTTGATGATCATAAGCTTTAAAGTTTGTTGAAATGGTTTAAAACGGAGTAACAGGATAGTAATTCAATCCAGTGCATTTCCTTTAGTTGGTCAGAATAAAAAGTCATGCAATTTCCTTTTTTTTTTTTTTTTTAAGTTGAGAATTATGTCTTTTAAAAAAATCCTTATCTGTGTATTTGGCTGCATTGGGTCTTAGTTTCAGCACGCAGGATCTTTGTTGGGGTGCATGAACTCTTTAGCTGTTGCTCATGGACTCCAGAATGTGCAGGCTCAGTCATTACAGGGCTTCAGCTTAGTTTCTCTGCGGCATGTGGGACCTTAGTTCACTGACTAGGGATTGAACCCATGTCCCCTGCATTGCAAGGCAGACTCTTAATTACTGGACCACCAGTGAAGTCCTAAGTCCTACATTTCCAATGATGCAAAACAGAGTGGTATCTTAGACCAGGAGAGGTTTCCACATGCTTGCTTTTGACTTGTAATAAGAGAAGGCAATGGCAACCCACTCCAGTACGCTTGCCTGGAAAATCCCATGGATAGAGGAGCCTGACAGGCTACAGTCCATGGAATCACAAAGAGTCCGACACGACTGAGCAACTTCACTTTCACTTTCACTTTTCAAGAGGGCTTCACAGGTGGCTCTAGTGGTTAAGAACCCGCCTGCCAGTTCAGGAGACACAAGAGACACAGGTTCAGTCCCTGAGTTAGGAAGATCTCCTGGAGAAGGGAATGGCACCCCATTCCAGTATTCTTGCCTGAAGAGTCCCATGGACAGAGGAGCCTGCCAGACTACAGTCCATAGAGTCGGACACGAAGCGGCTTAGAATATACAACCCACAGAACCTGGAATAATTCTCCTGTCAGGTGAGGGAGGTAGCGTGTGCACAAAGGTTTGTTTGTGGACGTTGTAGTGATGACAGCTGTTCAAAAAAGTGTTGTTTAAAATGCTTTTTCTTCTGCTGGTCCAGCACTCTGCTATTCAGCAAACATTTGGCCTTGTGACCTGACAAATACATTCTTTCTCAAAATATATTCATTCCTCTGGTGCTTGAATGTTTCTCATGCAGGTTAGTTCCTTTATTTATTTCTCCCTGTCACACACGGATCAAAATTTAGGCATAAATGGTGATACTTGGCATTTGTAATTTATTCCTTTCAGCTGAAGTACCTCATGTCTTAATGACTAGCATCACAAAGTAGAAGATCGGTTTGTCTTAACATACAGAGGTTTAATCTGTTCTTACGTCCTTATATAAACCCCTACAACAGATGGATTAAAATCTTCTTGCTTTTTATTAAAAGGAGAAAAATAAAGGAAAAAAAAATCCATAGCACAGTGGATCATATTATGTTAAAATTTATATTGTATAGTCAGGTGTAGCAGTCCGGAAGGAAAGTCATCAAGTGCAAACAATGAAATTAGGGCCCTTTCAAAAAAAAAAACTTTATAAATTTTCTCAATTTTTATAAGTTATGTATTCTTATAATAAAAAAGAAATTTTACGTTCAAAAGATACATAAACCTTATTATTCCTTACTTGGATGATAGTTGAAAGTTGGGTTCAACATACCTAAATTAATTTCTGCTAGTAGATTGAAGACTCTCACTTTCTTTCCTCTGTCCAGATTATAGTGACTTTTAAGAATTTATAACTACTCATACTTCTCTTTGGCTCTCAGAAACAACTTACAGCTATGAATGGAGTTTAATAAGCCACCCTGAAGACTACCAAGGAGAAATAAAACAAAGACACACACAGGCTCTTAATGTCTCTCAAGTAAGTAATTGGTGACTGGTTGTAATTGACAGCATACCTAAAAATTCAGGTGTCACCTTAGTTGTTGAACCGAGAAGTCTCTGTTATGGCTAAGATTAAAAGAAGCACTGTGGACAGAGGAGCCTGGTGGGCTACAGTCCCTGGGGCCACAGAGAGTTGGACGTGACTGAGCAACTCAGCACACACATTAATGAATTATATTTCAAGCATGTAGGTAGACAGGCAAGTGTGAATATAGGGGCTTTCAGGAACTTTTTCTTCGTTTGACTTACTTGGCATATCAGTCTGGGGAAGAAGGCTGGTTGCCCAGGCTGATGTGGGTCTCTGTAGTGAGGTTAAAGCCTGTATTCCAACCCTTGCCCCTTTTGCAGTGTCCGAGACACTCTCGTCATCTCTGATTCTTAGGCACATTTTTAGGACTGCCAAAAATTCATTCCAGTCCACAAATGGTTTGACTACCAAATATTGCTCCAAGATGTAAGCCGTCACAGGAGGAAACGTCCTCACTTTAGATGGCCATAGACGATTATGTTATCTTCATTTCTGAGACCACACAGCTACTGGTGCAAACCAAGTTAGCATCACCATCCCCTTATCACTGAGCACTGTTTCTCAAAGTCTGGTACCCGGGCCGCGGACAGCTGACCCACCACACCTACTTGGTAAAAATGCAGGGTTCCCATACATACAAGTTTGCGAATGGCCGCCCTTGGCTGGTCCATCTCACATATGCCTCGGTAAGGCCTGTGCACGTCTGTAATGAAGCTGAAGTCCTTCCCAGTGGATCATCAGTGTTTTACAGTACAGGCTTCAGATGTGGCAGTGTGTGCCCAGGTCCCAAGCCCGTTCTGTGCGCTGACTTCAAGAGAACAGCTTCTGGAATATTTAAGGATCTTCTAGGCAGTGGACCCATCCTGTTGTTTGCACGTTTTACTGGTGTAACTTTTCTTTATCTTGCAGTTGTCAGTAGGACGTTATGCCTTCAAAGTAGCAGTTTCTGGTGAAAATGCCTTTGGAGAGGGATTTGTAAATGTCACCGTGAAGCCAGGTAAGCTTGTGGAAGAGAATAGCCTCCTGTGGCATAGGTCTACCTTGCCTTTTGGTGCCTGAACTACACAGTAATATATTATTTAGTTTTATACTGGACACCATTGTAGAGACCATGCAAAGATGACATGTTTTTTTTTTTCCTTTCTGCTTTCTTAGTACTTAGTACTAAGTTCTTAGTACTTAGTTCTTAGTACTCACTTCACACTGCTGCGCAGGGTTGCAAGGTTATTGCTTTCTCTTAAGTGTTAGTCGTTAAGTCCTGTCCGACTCTGCGACCCCATGGACTGTAGTCCACCAGGCTCCTCTGTCCATGGGATTCTCCAGGCAAGAATCCCAGAGTGGGTTGCCATTCCCTTCTCCATTGGATCTTCCCCACCCAGGGGTCGAACCTGGGTCTCCTGCACTGCAGGCAGATTCCTTACCATCTGAGCCACCAGGGAAATTTCAGGTCAGTGGCAAATGATCTGCGCCTCAGTCTCCTCCATCTGACACTCTTCTATCTCAGTTCCCTGTGACTCAGCTTGACCTTATGTGAAAGAGCTTTTCAGATTCACTTAACTGAGTGCCTCCAGGGCCAAGGAAAATGCATTCCATGGGCTTTCAAGCCCCCTGGTCCTTTCAGGCCACCACTAGCCCATAGGTCAGTGCACTTGTGTGAGTTGGAAACAGTGGCCCTTTGTCAGGGTGGGCACAGCTCTGGCTCTGTGCATGGAGCGTGGTGTGGTCTTGAACCTCCTCCATCCCCTCCTCCTAAGGGAGGTGGACCAACTGGGTGCCAACACCCCCTCCAGCCTCTACCTCAGGGGTGATGAGGGAGCTTTCAGTCAAAGATTGAAGATCCAGTTAATCATAGGAGCTGGAACCACACTCCAGGGCTCCCCTTCTGCAGTTGTTGCTCAAACTCTGTCACCAACCCCTTGGCTGTTATTACACGTGTTCATTGAGCCTGGGGTTTTTGTACAAAAATCTAAACCCACAGACATGCTCCTAAAATGTACGGAAACATCCCAAAACATTAACAAGCACTCTGCACATTCAAGGCCTGTAGGATAAACACCGTGTGGACAGGATATCGATGACCGGTGTGTTTGAAGGTCAGATGGTTTATTTCGGTGCTGGTGTGTACAGAACACAACTTGACTCAGTCCGTGTCGTTTTTTCCGTCTCGCAGCCGGAAGAGTCAACCTGCCTCCCACGGCAATCGCTTCTCCCGAGAGACAGGAGTTCTCCCTGCCATTGACGTCGGCTATCATCGATGGCAGCCGTGAGTACCCTGCCTCAAGTTGGGGGTTTTGCCCCACGAACCAGGAGATGTAATGGGAGCTCTCTGTTGAAGCTGAGAGGACTTCCGGGCTAACTCATCGATAGATGGGCATCTGTCTGTATATCCAAGTCCTTCAGCCCCTTGAGCACAGCTCCTCTGCCTTGGGCTGAATTTCCCTTCAGTTATGTCTCATTTGTAAGAAAAGTCTCTGTAAGAAAAGTTATGTCTCTGTAAGAAGAGTCCTTTAGGGCCTAGCTATTGCATCGGAATTAAAGCAACTGGGAAAGACTCTCCTTTCGATGCAGTCTATGTGACGAGCCTTTGGAAAGTCACTTTTAACAGATGGTAGAAGGGGTGTCCTTAGTGAGGGCGGGTAGAGTTTTGTTCATTTAATTCATAGTTCATTCCTTCAATTAGAGTGTATGTGGAAGGGGCCCAAGTGTAACTTCATGGGTCCAGGCAAATGAGAATAGATGAAAGCATATCCTGTGTTTGACACTATATTCAAAATATGTTCAGCTGTGTCAGTGTCACTGGTATTTGCATTTATGTCCGTCAAATCACAAAGCTAATACCAAATCTGGTGAGTGAAGAATTCTTGCCTTGGTTCCTAGGAGAAGAGTACCTGTCAGTCACTAGTGCTGCTCCTTTTGGAAAGTCTGCACAGATACAGAAATATATACAGATCACATTGACACAGTCTCTTGCATCTATTCCAATATAAATGTCTATATTGCCCCCCTAGCAACATGAAAATAAAGCATATTTTAAATGAAAATATTTATGAGAAAATGCATTACGTCTTGATTCCTCTAATTCAGTGTAGCTTGGTTACAGGAAACTGTTCAGGATTATTAATCTGTCACATGAAGATTTCTTTCCTTAAATGAATGAGATGAAACTGGCTCCCTTCTAGGTCTAAATTAGTGTTATTCTGCATAGTACATTTTGTTTACTCTTTTGAAGTAGAGGTGGGAGGTTTTCATGTAGGGTACAGTCTTTCTCTGGATTTACACTTAATGATTAGGGTGGTAAAAGGTGTTTTGTAATTATATAGAAGCACCTCTCAATTCTTTATGAATCTGTCACTCAGATACTTACTTAAATTATCAGTAAGATATCATGTGCTGTAGTTAAAGTGAGTTAAAAAAAAAAAAAGCAATAGTGCCTGCCACTGTGCCATTTAAATTCACAACTGAGTGGAAACACCCTGACTCAAATCTGGTGGAAATCTGGGAGAAAAATCATGATGATAATTTAGGGAGAAGAAGAAATCTCCCTTTTAACACATAATATGTGGCCATTGAAATTTTGCAATTAAATAATTTCAAATAAATATGCATTTAAACACCCAATGACATTAATCATGAAATTGATGTTTTAATATCCTTGTATCTAATTCTAGTTTTCATTTATTTTTCAATCTTTCTAGAAAGTACAGATGATACTAAGATAGTGAGTTATCACTGGGAAGAAGTTAATGGGCCCTTCCGAGAAGAGAAGACCTCAGCTGACTCCCCCGTCTTACATCTGTCTAACCTTGTTCCTGGAAACTATACTTTCAGGCAAGTGGCTTCAGTTTCCATCACTGATCATTTGACTCTTTCCTTGAATTGATGCATCTTTTCATTTTCATCAGGAGACAGGGCAGATTTGGTTTTGTCGGGGGTTTTGGTTGGCAGCCACTTTATACTCTGATCAATAATATAAACTACAATATAAACTACAAGTGTCTGTGTATGGGAAACCTTTGGATTTGGTTGTCAGTAACAGTATGGGATGGCACCTATTTTGCTGTGTTGAGAAACATGAAAGAAAGTTTCTATCTTTGGAGTCAATGTGAGGCAGAGTTATGTGATTTAGCCATTTCTTTATCTTTTTATAACTTTTTAAAGTATAGCTGGAGTATAATAAACTGCATATATTTAAGATATAAAACTTGATGAGTTTTGACACATGTATATACCTGTTGCACCGTTGTCAGAATTGAGATAATAAAATTTCCATCATTCCCAGGGTTTTCTCATGCCCCTTGGCAATCCCTTCCTCCTTCCATTCCTGTCTCTGGGCAACCACTGGCTTGTGGCCACTTTAAATTATCCCGAACTTTCTAGAATTTCATATAAATGGAGTTGTACAGTATGTGCTCCTTTTTTCTTAGTTTCTTTCACTCAGCAAATGATTTTGATATTCATCCATGCTGTTGTCTCTAGCAATAGTATATTCTATTTAATTGCTGAGTACTATTCCAATGTATGGATATATATATACCACAATTTACTTATCCTTTCATTGAGTATGGACTCTGGGGTTTTTAGCTTTGAGCTGTTACAAATAAAGCTGCCATGAACATTTGCATACAAGTCTTCTGTGGACATATACTTTCATTTTTCTGGGGTAAATACCCACCAATGGAAGAATTAGGTCCTGTTATTGAGTTTGTTCAGCATTTTAAGAAATTTCCAAGTTCTTTCCCAAAATGGATATATTATTTTACATTCCTACCCATAGTATATGAAGTTTTCAACCTCCACATCCTTACCAACACTTGATGTAATCATTCTTTTAAATTTTACCTATTTTGATGGATGGTGATATCTCATTATGGTTTTAATTTGCATTTTCCTGATAACTAATGATATTAAGCATATTGTAGGTATTTATTGGCCATTCATGTAACTTCATTTGTGAAGCTCCATTCAGATCTTTTTCCTGTTTTAAAAATTACATTGTCTTATTTAGTTGTAAAATTTTTATACATTCTGTTGTAAGATTTTTATACATTCTAAAACAAGTTCTTTATTTTATATACATGTTATAGATATTTCCTCCCAGTATATGAAGTTTTGTTCTCTTAATGGTACCTTTTAAAGGGCAAAAGTTTTAAATTTTGATTGTCTGATTTATCAGTTTTTTTCTTTTATGTTTCATGGTTTTTGTGTTCTATCTAGGTAGCTTTTGTTTATTCCCCAAATTGCAAAGATGCTGGTGTCTTTCTTTAAGTTTTTGTATTTCTGGGTTTTATATTAAATCTGTGATCTATTTTGAGTTAGATTTATGTATTGTGTGAGATTTTTGAATGTTAAGTCAACCTTACATTTATGAAGTAAGCCCTATTTGATCATGATATTCTTTTTATATAGCATGGGCTTCAACTTGATAATATTTTTGTAAATATGTTTATGTCTGTCCTCATGAAAGATTTGGTTTATGCTTTCTTCTGTCTTTCTCTCCCTCTGCATTTGTCTTTGTTAAGGTTTGGTGTGAGGATTATACTGGCCAAATAAAACAAGTTCATTTCCTTTATTTTCTGAATTATTTATGAATAAGTGGTGGCATTTCATTCTTGAATGTTTGATAGAATTAACCAGTAAGATTGTGTGGGCCTGGAATTTTCTTTTTGGGAAAGTTTTGATAATAAATTTGATTTCTTTAATAGATGTAAGTCTATTTAGATTTTCTGTTTTTTACTTTTTCTTTTTTAAGTTTTATATTAGAATATAGTTGATTAACAATGATGTGTATATGTTTTTTCTTGTGTCAGTTTTTAGTAAATTGTATTTTTCAAGAAGTTTGTGCATTCCTAATAAAGCATCATATTTTTTGCAATTAAGTTGCTCATAATATCTTCATATTATCCTTTCAAGTCTGTAGGATCTGTGATGATAACCCTTTTTCATTTCCAGTATTGGTAATTTATGTTCTCTTTTTCTCTCAGTTAGTTTAATTAAGGGGTTTGTTAATTTTATTTGTATTCTCATAGAACCTAACTAGAACTGCTTTAACCTACTTGCTTGTTTTCTAATTTGTTCTTTTCTGTTCTTATCTTTACTATTTACTTACTTCTATTTACTTTTGATTTACTTTGTTCTTTTTCTTCTACTAATGACTTCTTAGAGTAGAATCTTGAGTCATTTTCAAGTCATTTCTTTAAGGACTCAGAATGTATCCTGACTAAGCTTGGTTGTGGAGGAAGGATCTTAGGTGTTTGGTTTTCTGTCGGAGTGGAAACTGGAGTTCGGATCTTGGTTGCATGGGATATGTGGGTTAGAGGCCCAGAATACCTGGGCCCCCTGTACCTTACCTACAAATATGTCCTGTGTTCTTTCCAGAGCTTCATTCTCATAGTTCTGTTTATACCTGTAGAACATGCACTGCTACTCTGAATTAACATCTTTATTCCAGAAAGATGAAGTGACCTTATTTCACTGATGCAGTTGCCACATCACCAGTGAGTTTAGAACAGGAGGGTCAGTGCAGCTCTCTCTCTGTTGTTTGTGTGGGTTGAGTATCATTTGTTTTTGAAAGTGCTTACTCCTAAAATGGCTTTGCAAGGAGTATCCTGCAAACACTTAATGCTGAGTCCTCTAGGAAAGAATGAGAAAATCAAAAGGCTTTGTAGCTGAAACTTTGTTAGTGATTTTCTGCCTCTACATGTTCAGGCCTGAGGGCAGGACTTAAAGCTGATACATTCTGAGTCTCAGCTAATAGAGAGAGGCTTCTGTGTTGGTTGGGGTTGGTTTCTTCATCCAGCATCTCGAAGGATCGTGAGAAAGCCACATAAAAGAAAACCCTATCATGTGACTATATTGCTAGCTAAAAATAAAGTAAATCAGCAGCAAAAAATATATCCTCAGGTCCCTTCTTTCCTCAGCTTCATCCTCAAGTTTCTTCTCTGAGTTGTTCTGAGTAATATACATAGGCAGACTCAGCTGACCACTTGCCTTCAGATTTGGCATGTTCATGGAGTATAATAGACTCCTGTCCTTTTACTAGGTTGACAGTTACAGACTCAGATGGAGCCACTAACTCTACAACGGCAACCCTAATAATCAACAGTGCTATGGACTACCCTCCAGTCGCCAATGCAGGACCAAATCAGACCATAACTTTGCCCCAAAACTCCATCACTTTGAATGGAAACCAGAGCAGTGATGATCACCAGATTGTCCTCTATGAGTGGTCCCTGGTGCCTGGGAGTGAGAGCAAAGAGGTGGCTATGCAGGTGAGTTCTCCATCCTGCCTTCAGATCATCTGTCTCTCAGTCTTTCCATCTTTCGTTTTTCTTTCTGTCCATCCATCCATCCATCCATCTAAAATATTGGTACAAGGGGGAAACTAAATTCAGAAAACATGTTTTATGAAGTTGCCTGTTATAACTATTAGAAGAGTAGCTAAACTCACAAATCTTCTAAATTTATGTCCCTTTCCCTCCCTCACTCTATGTAAGCCCAGAATAGCAGCTAAGCAGGTCCTAGTTGAAATGTCAACCTTGAATGTTAAAAACTTGACCTTGAGGTTAGTTTGGGAAAAGGCTGACCCAACATTTGCCACAGAAATATTATTTTAGTACATATTAGGATAAACATTAGAAATAATTTAATCTAAACCTCATTATCAGAAAATTCCTGTGTATTTTGTTCCTCCTATTTTTAGAAATTGCATGTTATTGTCTCTAGATCCAGCGGTCTCTTGTTGAGATCTCTTTGTATTTACCTTTTGATTGGTTCAAATCTCTAATATATCTGTCTATAATAACCTTGAAATGTTGCTGTATTTGTATGCATGTGTGTGAGCTGCTTACTTATTCTTCTTTTGGTGATAGCCAGAGCTGTTGGTTTTTGTTGCTTAGCAGCTTGGTGCCTTTGAAGTTATGTTATTATTTAAGAGTTTAATGGAAAAAAGATAGTAACTTACATTGCCCCCTTCCTCTTCTCCTTCAAACACCGTCTCACCAGTCCAAGACAAATTTCTCGTTAGTGTTTGTGATGAAGTCAGACAGTCCGTGAAGGCTGACCTACTTTACTTTTTGATCTTTCTGGAAAGAGCTTTGTGATCACGATGAATTAAGAATGACCCGATTGGATGCATGGAACTTGAAGGAGCTGTGAGTCCTCTGGATACCCTTAGAGAGCACGTGTTTTAGTGTTCATCTCTACCTGAGAGTTGTGGCAAATGCAGTTTGCAGCTGTTGGGTTAAGAATTTGGATTCAGAGGAGTTTGGATACAAACAAGAAGATGGACTATTTTGTATTTTTTTCAGTTAAAAAAATATTTCAAAATTTCTTTCCCTTAATTTCTGAGAATGATGTGCCCAGAGCTAATGCGGCAGTGCATCCCTGTCTGTGGGACCTGGATCCAGAAGAGGTCCCTTGTGCCGGACTGCAGGGCTAAGCTCGTTGCCCTGTGCGCCTGCCCACTTGCTGGAAATACTCTCAGATTAGCCACGGTAACCATGCTGCTGCCTTGTGGTTGATTGATGACGGTGTCGAAAGGAGTGATGCTTTTTATGAACTGGCACCATCACAAAGATAAGCTCTTAAACCAGACTCTTTTATGCTTAGACTAAAAGTTCGCAGTGAATTTGTCTGCTCAGTTCCCACTTGCTGTGAGTTTCCTTTTCACTGTGTGCATAGCGTTCCTGTAACCATGTTAATTTTGAGGCATGTACTGGAAATTATACTTTCTCTAAGAGCTTTTCAGAAAAAACAACAACAACAACTTTGCTTTATTGAGTCCAAGTAGGGGAAAGCCCTTTTTTTAAGATCTTAAAAGAATGCATTTCAAATTTCAGCAACTCCCCTTGTGATAACACACTTGATTTTCTATTCTTTTTTAAAAAATTTTTCCTTTAAAACTAAAAGAAAAACATAAACAGAGAAATTTATCTATAGACAATCATAGGATCTGTGAAAGTAAATATATTATGATAGGACTTAAATTTAAAAATCTTTGCCAGGATGCCATGAACTTTAAGCATAGGCAAAAACTGAAAATATTTCCAACAACACAGCAGCAAAAATAACCAAAGGGGTATTAACCTGAAGGCAACAAGGTTAAACTACTGTATACTCACTGAAAAAAATGCCTTATTGAAAAGTTTTGTTGTCCCAGCATTTTAAAATTTTATTTTACATCAAGGACCTACTGTATTGGGCTTCCCTGGTGGCTCAGATGGTAAAGAATATGCCTGCAATGTAGGAGACCCAGGTTCAATCCCTGGGTAAGGAAGATCCCCTGGAGAGAGCAAGGCAACCCACTTCAGTGTTCTTGCTGGGAGAATTCCATGGACAGAGAAGCCTGGCAGGATATAGTCCAAGGGTAAACTACTGTATACTCAACTGAAAAAAAAATGCCTTATTGAAAAGTGTTATCCTAGCATTTAAAAAAGTTATTTTACATCAAGGACCTGCTGTATAGTGCAGTGAACTATAATCAATATCTTGTAATACACTATAATGGAGAAGAATCTGAAAAAGAATGTGTGTATGTGTAACTGATTCACTTTGCTGTATACCTGAAACATTGTAAATCAACTATACATCAATAAAAATTAAAAAGAAAGAATGCATGCACAAAAAGAAAAATTCAAGAGATGATAATCTATGGGGGAAAATAACAAAAAGTTATTTTTGATCATGATTTATTTCCTGTGGTTAAAAAAACTCAAATTCTAATAAAGCCAAAACACATCTTAACCTCAACCAAGTCCCTTTATATGAGATAATTACCTTGATGAGTTTAATCTGTGTTAAATTCTGTGTATGCCCAGAATCTTTCTCTTGTGTTTGTATGTGTGTAAAGTATGTATAATAGTATCCAGCACACTGTAGCCTTTATTGCACAGTTTTCTTTGATTCATATTACATCTTTAATATATTTCCACTTTTTAATGTGTACCTGTACTTCATTCTTTTAAACCTCTTTCTTTTCAGCTAGCATTCCGTAGTGTATCATGGTGGGCTTGGCCATTTCTCTTTTGATGATCATCTGGATTGTTCCCTTTTCTTTTTTTTTTCTATAGGCAATGTCTTAGCATCCATGGGTGAGTCTCCATGATTACACACGTGGGCTTTTCTCTACAACAGATACTCAGCAGAAATGCTGGGTCGAAGAGTGTGTGCTTTTAACATTTGAATGGATGCTGCCATATTGACTTCCAAAAAGGCTATATTAATTTATATTCTTTAAACAGTGTCTGAGGATATACTGTGGACTTCAGATCCCATTTTCCTGGGACATGTATATATTTTTTAAAAGCAGGCTCTCCACATTTAGTAAAGTCACTATTTTTTCATTCTGTCATGCTAATTACTTGTGCTTCTTTAATATTATTTTTTCTTTTTCATTTTTGTATTTGCTATGACTTAGGGAGTAGAGACCCCATACCTTCATTTGTCGGCAATGGAGGAAGGAGATTATACGTTTCAGCTGATGGTGACAGATTCTTCGAGGCAACAGTCCACAGCTGTGGTCACCGTGATTGTCCAACCTGGTAGGTGAAATAGGAAAGGAATTTAGCCCCAGAGATTAAAACAGAAATGACATCTTGGCTTCTGGGCTTCAGACCAGCCAAATTTGGTGTGAATTCTCTTGAGTCTTTGAACTGTCAAGAAACTGACTACAGTTCCACTTCATGGCTTTTGAGGTCTCTTCAAGAAACCAGAGGTGTACATATTACAGTACAGTATTTCTTGCTATCTGTCATCCCAGTCATATTTAATTGGAATATTTAATTCCTGGGTCAGCTGAGAGACTGCATGTGTCTCCCCAGGGTTCCCAAAGGACAGGGCACACGCTAGTAGCCACCTGATCCAAATATGAGTAATTTGCTTAAATCAAGAAGTCAGAGGATGGCAGACCTCATGCAAAGAGATGTTACTTCTTCACACCATTTCTATAATTCTAGAAAACAACAGGCCTCCGGTGGCTGTGGCCGGCCCGGATAAGGAGCTGATCCTCCCAGTGGAAAGCACCACGCTGGACGGGAGCAGGAGCAGCGATGACCACGGGATTGTCTTCTACCGCTGGGAGCGTGTCAGGTAGCCCGCCCATCCCATCAGTGAGCTCGGTGTTCACACCCTGGCTTAGTGCTAACATCACCCGTTCTCTGGAGGATCCAGATTAAACAGTCAACTTGAGATTGTTGAGGAGTTAGGATTTAAGCTCATTTCTAGAAGTGGAGGGGCACTATCGTTTAAATTCTCCATCAGGCGTGGATGGACAAGATGGGCATTTCTTGACAGTGGAGGGTAGGTGGACAGGGCAGTCTCCGGGTGAGGTGAGCTTCGTGACAGAGGAGGTGCAGGGGAACCTGGGTGGGGGATCCTCATGAGAGCGCCCCCACATCTATACACTCTCAAACCACTTGCAGTGACTATAAACAGCAGAAGTGTAGAGTACAAGGGGATTCCTGTGTCCTCAGACATTTTTTTTGTACTTTACATGCTTAATCTTGTGGAATGCTAGATCAGTTCTTAAGAGGTAAATAATATTATTCCCATTTTAAAGGTAAAGCAACTGAGGCTTGCAGAGATGAGTGAGATCACAGGGTTTAGAGTTGTCCACATAGAGCAAGAGCTGGGACTCAACCTGGGTCTTCCTAACCACAGAGCCCACAGTCTTCACAACTCCACTGTATTTCCTCTCTTAAATTAGTTACTTGGCTTGTTCCCTCCTCTCCCGTATTCTCCTGAAAGATAGCTGAGGATTTCAGCAGATTTTATTCAAAGAAGAAATAGCAGAGGGAATTCCCTGGCCATCCACTGGTTGAGACTGTGCACTTCCACTGCAGGGGACACAGGTTTGATCCCTGCTCAGGGAACTAAGATCCTGCATGCCACACAGTACGGCCAAAATAAAAAAGAATGAAAGAAGTAGCAGTAGTTTCTAAGGCTCCATTTTCTAAAAACAGATCATTTCACTGACAGCTCAATTTAAACAAACAAACAAACAAACAAGAACTCCAAAATCCTCTTCCCAGGAATCCAGCAACCTTTGCCTGAAATAGGATTTAGCTTGTGACTCTTACACAGAACTCCAGAATCTAAATGAATAAAAAGTTATCTTAGAATTCTCTGCTGCTGCTAAGTCACGTCAGTCATGTCCGACTCTGTGCAACCCCATAGATAGCAGCCCACCAGGCTCCCATCCCTGGGATTCTCCAGGCAAGAACACTGGAGTAGGTTGCCATTTCCTTCTCCAGTGCATGAAAGTGAAAAGTGAAAGTGAAGTCGCTCAGTCATGTCCAACTCTTTTCGACCCCATGGACTGCAGCCCACCAGGCTCCTCTTGTCCATGGGACAAGGCAAGAGTACTGGAGTGGGGTGCCATTGCCTTCTCCATAGAATTCTCTAGGTGGTATATATTATTGCCATAAAAAGGACCATTTATAACAAACACCATGCCTCCCGTCCTCAGACTCCCATACGCTGTGCCCATTGTTAATGACTGTCGTGTTTCATAGAGGCCCCAGCGCAGTGGAGATGGAAAACTTCGACAAAGCTATAGCCACAGTAAGCGGTCTTCAGGTGGGTACCTACCACTTCCGTTTAACAGTGAAAGACCAGCAGGGATTGAACAGCACGACCACCCTCACCGTGGCCGTGAAGAAGGGTGAGTCAGGGTAGAGGGCGGGTGGATCCGCTGGCGGAGGGGGCTGGGCGCCTTCTACTCGGTCTCACAGACGCTTAGCCACATGGTTATCCGGAAATGTTGGTGTTTGCTTATTGGTTCATAGCAGATGCTGAACTCTGGTTGGCCAAGCAGAGGTCATTCCTTTTCCGTCCACATTAGCTGTTTACCCGCCTCCCTCTGCAAGGACATAGCATTTCCTTTTGTTTGTGGAGTGCACCTCCTGATAGCTTCACTCTTCCGTGACTATTGGCAACCGCAGCCTGGGGTCCCAGTGGCCTCATGGTGCTTTCTATCTTCCTCGGAGATCTAAGTGCAGAGATGGTTTCAGGCGCCATGAAACCATGAATATAAAATGTGTGGTCCAGTCTTCCACCATGTTGCTTTAGGTACTTGTCTCTTTGACTTTTCCATTTGACCGTGAGTGGTTGAAGACCTTTATTGTAGGTATTTGTCTCCTCCGAGTGGCACAGTGCTAGACTCACAGCAAATCATCAGTGTTGGTGCCTTCAGTAAATGAGTGAAGGAATGAATGATTATGAGGTATTGAAGCTCAGAAATGTAAAAGAGCATGGCTGGACGGGAAAATCCAGTTGGATATTAGGGACCAGCAAGAGTGTCAGAACACTGGGGAGGGTAGCCAAGCCTCAGGCTCAGCCATAGAGGACTGTGTGTGTTGTGTTGTGCTGGGTAGTTTGGACTTTATTGTGCATTTGGGAGAGGCCGAAGCAATTTTCTCAGCACAGTGACATCAATTTGAGTTTTTTCCCCCAATTTTTATTGTGTAAGTTTTCAACCACATATAAGAGTAGAGAGAATAACCCTAATGGACCATCATACACCCATCACCCAGCTTCAACAGTTAACAACATTTTCCCCTTCTTATTTCATCTATCAGTTCACATTTTCTCTGATCCTGGTTGAAGCAAACCCTAGCATTATGCCATTTTTACCTGAAAAATTTGGATTTTTAAAAAGATAATGCTTGTGGAGAAGTGGAGTGGACAAAATGGCAAGCTAAAAATAGCACCAATTGGCCCTATTTCAGTCTCTGGTCTCTTTTTTGAGGAAAAAAGTGGCCAGTGACCAGTGGGATGTTAATTACTCCTGTGGGTCAATATTTGACTATCCTCACCCGTTTTCTATTGACTGACTTATAGAACCCCAGAACCCCATCTAAACAACCCCATCTGCCTCATAGCATCTTCTTTATATCAGAAATGGCTCTTACATTGTTCCTTATATTTTATACCCAGTCAGAACAATGAGATCTAATTATTTCTGACTCAAGTTGTTTGTTGTATTTACACAATCAAAATTTGGCATGACTAGAAACATGAATATTTCTGTGGCCAGATAGTGTGGACCAGTACAGAAAGATCCAGAGCATATTTTAAACCAAAATATTTTCATTTTCCAGATCCCAAATGTAAATAAGATCATGGTTTCTCTTTTCAAAAAGAGAAAAACTGTAATGATAATAGTAAACTGTCCAATATATTGGCTGCCAAATTATAAGTAGCTGAGTGCAAAGGGAATTTAAAGAAAGTCTTTATCTTATGGGTATTTCAGGCAGGAGATGATGCTTTCTAGATATTTTAAATCTACATATCTTCAGGATGGAATAGTCATGGATATTTTATGACACGCTAATCACAAGTATTTTAAATCAATTTCTTTGCTTTCATTTCTGCTGTATTTGACTTAGAAAATAATAGTCCTCCCAGAGCCCGGGCTGGTGGCAGACATGTTCTTGTGCTTCCCAATAACTCCATTACTTTGGATGGTTCAAGGTCTACTGATGACCAAGGGATTGTGTCCTATCTGTGGATCCGGGACGGCCAGAGCCCAGCAGCTGGAGTGAGTACTTGAAGAGAATTGCCCCTGGACCGCTAAGCATTATGCCTGTGTTAGTGTGCTAGAGCTGCATAGCAAAATACCACAGGCGGGGTAGCTTCAACAACAGAGGTTTATATTCTCCCAGTTTTGAAGACTTGAAGATCCAAGATTGAGGTGGTAGACGATTTGGTTCCAACTGCCTACATGCTGTGTCCTCACATGGGAGCAGGGCCGGAGAGGGAGAGGAAGTGGAGAGGAGAGAGAGGGCTCTCGGGTATCTCTTCTTACAAGGATGCTAATCCTATGGGATCAGGACCCCACCTTTATGACCTCAGTCGCTCAATCATATCTGACTCTTTGCAACCCCGTGGACTGTAGCACGCCAGGCTTTCCTGTCCATCACCAACTTCTGGACATTGCTCAAACTCATGTCCATTGAGTCAGTGATGCTATCCAACCATCTCATCCTCTGTCATCCCCGTCTCCTCATTATGACCTCATTTAACCTTAATTACCTCGTAATAGACCTTATCTCAAATAGAGTCGCATTGGAGGGTTAGGACTTCAACCTTTGAGGGGACACAGTTAACTCCATTTCTGTGTCTCTGTTGTGGTCTCATCTCCCTTTCCATGCCCCGCCTAAGATGTTTTTGATTCTAGGTTTCCTCTGACAGTTGGGTGCAGGAAGCTGCTATTCAATTTAAATAAATCTGAAGTCCTTTCTGACTTTCTCCCCACCCAGACTTTGATAGAGTCAGAAACTGTAGCCTGGAATCTTCTCAAGGGATTCATTCTGCTCCTCAGCTTTCCTGTTCTTCCTGTTTTGATCCATGTGGATTTTTTTCCTTTTCCTCAGCATTGTACCAGATAGGTCACTAGATCCAGAATTGCCATTCCCATTGCATAAGTACAGAAAATCAGATGCAGAGATGGAAAGTGACTTGGCCAAGGTTGATTAACTCATCTTCAACCAACCAGATAGGCTTAGGTTTTCAGTTCCTAGCAGGCATTTTTCCACATCAGAGCACCCTGCCTTTTTGGCTATAAATGTAGGTACATCTTCGTTCCTGCTGTTGCTAAGGACTTGAAAGATGAAAATTTACTCTTGGAGATGTACCGAGGGAGTGGTCTCAGGGAAAGAACTGAAAGCGCTTTCATTCCAGAGTAACTCTGTTAGGTAACTCTGTTACGGTAACACTTGTTACCTTTGGTTACCACCCTCTTCTGTTAGCAAGTTCAGAGCAGGGGTCTAGGAGATTCTTCTCAAACGCTTTCAGCAGAGATGTCTCTACTGAGGCTCTTGGGTCACTAGAGAAGGTGAACATGACACGCCACGAGGAATCCTAAGCACTGTGAAACTGTCTTTGAAAATAAGACCCAGAAGACTCTTCAGAGAGAGTGCTTCACCCTCCAGGTCTTTGCCCTAATTTCAGGGGTTTCTGCCTCTGCTGGGTGGAATTTGGTCATTCCTAGAGCCCTTGGGAAGCTCCTGTAACAGAGTCCTGTCTGAGTCTTGTGTCTCCTAGTGCTTTAAAAGTGAAAGAGGGACCTTCCTGGTGGTCCAGTGGTGAAGAGTCTCTTCTTTCAATGCAGGGGACATGAGTTCAATCCCTAGTTGGGGAACTAAGATCTAACATGCTGTGAGGTGTGACCAAAATATAAAAATTTTAAAAAAACAAATAAAAATAGCAGTGGAAGAGACACCGAGGATTACCCAGACCTTCGCTAACCTCTCCTCTCCACTTCCTCTTCAGCCTGTCCCTTAGAATCATGCATGTGTGACAAAGACGGGCCACTGAGGTTTGGGGTCCGCAGAGGCCCGGGTTGGGAGCCAAGTACGGACTGTGAACGTGTTATTTCTCAGGATGTCATCGACGGCTCTGACCATGGCCCGGCCCTGCAGCTCACCAACCTGGTGGAGGGCATCTACACTTTCCGCCTCCAAGTTGCTGATGGTCAGGGGGCCTCAGACACGGACACCGCCACAGTGGAAGTGCGGCCAGGTACGTGCTGGGCTTCTGGGCCTGTGTTTGTGGGGCTGGCCTGTGAGTGGGGACTGGGGGGAGATCTGCCTTTGGGGCTCTTTGCAGGTGGCAGTGGAACCCCGTGTGGGAAGCCAGGCTCACCTTGTGGTTTTCTCTACACGTGGCCATCTGTCCCCCAACAGATCCAGCCTCGGAACTCTTAGGGAGAACTGGGCCTGACAGCAAGACTCCTTGGTCACTTTGGTTTTCCTACCGGAAGACAAAGAGGTCTTTCAGACAAAAGGCCTTGTGAGGTGGCCACGAGGTCTTCACTCCTGGGACCGCCAGGAGGGCAGCTCCAGTGAGGTGGCCACACCAAGCTCCGGCATGAACTGGGCCGGGCCCACAGCCCTCAGGAACCGAGTTCTTCTTTTGGGTCAGGGGACGTGTGTGAGGTCTCAGAATATTAAGTGAGCCCCAAGGCTGACTAAGCACACCTGTCTACCATCTGGAGGAAGATTAATAAGACAGCGAGCTGATATAAAACAAGGAAAAAGTCCCCACAGACGGTGGCCCCTGCGGCTTTTGAGAGAACTGACCTGAGCGGTAGAACCCAAGTGCAGAGCCTAACACAGGGGTCGCTTCAAGCTCTGAGGCTCTTGTGCAGGCCTTACTCCTCCTGTTATCAAGCCTGGGGTTTTCAAGTGGAAAGAAAGCCTGTGTCTCTTCGTTTCCTCAGACCCGAAGGCGGCTGGCCTGGTGGAGCTGATCCTGCAGGTCGGCGCGGGGCAGCTGTCGGAGCAGCGCAAGGGCGCCCTCGTGCGGCGGCTGGCAGCGCTGCTGAGCGTGCTGGACTCGGACGTCAGGGTTCAGAAGGTCCAGGCCCACTCGGACCTCAGGTACGGCCGCTCGGTCCGGCCTGATGGCGTTCGTCTCCTCTCTTGTTCTGTGCCTTTGAACACATTTAGCCTATTCGTGTCCTTTATTTTTTACCCTCAACGGGCAGCAGCAAGGGCATGATTATAGAGGTCCTTCCCACGAGGCTCAGTAAATGTTTGCTGATGGAGAATGTTCTGACTGAAGGAGTTAGGGACCATCCGAGGGAGCTGGGCTTTGGTTCTGGTATCAACGGAGGGCATGCAAATAGTCTGGGGCAGGCCCAGGGCGTGTCTCATAGCCAGACTCCATTCCTGCCTCATGTTCATGGGGCTGAGACTTCTCTCACTCTGAGAGGATCTTGGATTACCACTTCCCTCATAGCTCAGCTGGTAAATCATCTGCCTGCAGTTCAGGAGACCTGGGTTCGATTCCTGGGTCGGGAAGATCCCCTGGAGAAAGAAATGGCAACCCACTCCAGTATTCTTGCCTGGAGAATCCCATGGACGGAGGAGCCTGGCAGGCTACAGTCCATGGGATCGCAAGAGTCGGACACGACTTAGCGACTAAACCACCAAACACCTTCTGAGGGTCTGTAAGGTTCAACCTCTGCATTGATTTCTTATGGGATTTATAATTGAATTTCTAAAAAACCCTTATACACCCAGTTTGTGGTATGATTTTTATGGCAACATTTGGAGAGTAATATAGATTTGAATAGAAATTTCTCCAAAGATGATATACAAGTGGCTGATGAACACATGAAAAGATGTTCAACATCATTAATTAGTAAGGAAATGCAAATCAGAATCACGTGGAGATACCACTTCCTACCCACCAGGATGGCTTTAATCCAGAAGAGGCTGTAACAAATGTCGGCAGGTATATGGAGAAATTGGAACACCCATATATTGCCAGTGGGAATGTGAAATGATGCATCCACTGAGGGAAACACTTTCACAGTTTTTCAAAATCCTAAACATAGAATTACCATACGACCCAGTAATTCCACTCCTAGATATATATGCACAAGAAATAATACACATATGTCCATACAAAATCCAGGACGTGGACATTCACAGAGGTGTTATTCATATGGCCCAAAAGTAGATACAGTCCAAATGTCATCGACTGATGAGTGAATAAATGATATGTATTCATACAAGGGAATAATAGTTGGCGTTTTGAAGGAGGGGGATATACATGCTACAACTTGGATGAACTGTGAACACATCATTCAAAGTGAAAGAAGCCAGGCACAAAATGCCTCATACATATTCCATGTATATCAAAAGTTCAGAATAATCAAATCTATGGAGACTGAAAGTAGATTAGTAGTTGGCAGGAGCCGGAGTCCTGGGAATGCTTGCTGATGGGTGTGGAGTTTCTGTGATGGTGGAAATGTTCTGGAGATAGATGGTGATGGTTGCACAACTTTGTGAATGTGCTAAAGGCCACTGGGACACACACTTACTTTAGAACGGTGACTTTTATTGCAAGTATATCACATCTCAGCGAAAAGGTAAAAGTGAAGATGCATCTAAAGGTTCTCATGTTGTGTGTGATTGTGTCTGTTTGTACACGTTGCTTTGGGGCCCTCCAGGTGCCTGCCAAAGCAGCAGATGTAAGAGATGCAGGTTCGATCCCTGGGTCAGGAAGATCCCCTGGAAGAGGGCATGGCAACCCACTCCAGTCTTCTTGCCAGGAGAATCCCCATGGACAGAGGAGCCTGGCAGGCTACAGTTCATGGGGTCATAGAGTCAAACATGACTGAGCGACTTAGCATGCATGCACTCACACATTGCTCCATTTATCTGAAGATCTGCCCCTCATCAGTTGAATTCTGGGACCAAAGATCCTTTATTTGTGAATAGAAGCTGATCAACTCCTTGGCCCCCAGGACACACCCCTGTCCTTGCCAGGCCGCGGAGCTGTGGCCGCCTGCCTTCTCAGCCCTGCAGGTCTGAGGGCTGGAGTGGATATGTCACGCCGGTCACTGGCTAACCATGTGGCTGGCCCCTCTCTGTCTTCTCTGCAGCACCGTGATTGTGTTTTATGTACAGACTGGGCCACCTTTCAAGGTCCTCAAAGCTGCCGAAGTGGCCCGAAATCTACACAGGCGGCTCTCAAAGGAAAAGGCTGATTTCTTGCTTTTCAAAGTCTTGAGGATTGACACAGCAGGTATGCCCCCCTATCAGAAATATCTTTGTTTTTAGAGGTCAAGTAATGTAAGTATATAATTGTTGTATATTCAGAATTGGATCCCGCTGGACTAGACATAAGGCTTCCCAGGTGGCTCAGTGGTAAAGAATCTGCCTGGAATCCAGGAGACCCGTGTTCAATCCCTGGGTCGAGAAGACCCCCCTGGGGAAGGGAATGGCTACCCACTCCAGTATTCTTGCCTGGAGAATCCCATGGGCAGAGGAGCCTGATGGGCTACAGTCCATGGGGTCCCAGAGTTGGACACGACTGAGTGACTAACCCTAAACACTACGCAGTAGACATGCCATCCAATTAAATGCAATGGTAATATTACAGAAATATAAGTAACTACCCAGATTAAAGGAAAAGATTTCTTGGAGGAGGTGAAATATGATTTGGTTCCAATAGGGCAGGACTATAGCCAGGTCTCATAGTCTTTTTTGAATTAAGTGGAAATAAATTTCAGTATTTAATTATCTTTCTAATTTCTCCATGTCAACTCCTATGGGAATATTTTAAAAGAATCAGATTTGCTAATCAGGGCTACATTTTGCTGGCACAGAAAGAAGACATGGGGACAGCTTCACTTTAGCATCCAGGGAATTGTTTTGCATTTATTTCTCCAGTCGGTTTCCTGCAGCACACATTTGCCAAATATGCTTTGTCTTTGAGGGAACCTGGAGAGAAACAAGTCATGGTTCATTTTTAAAACTATACTCTCACACACTGGTCATTATCAGAATTTCAGACTTAAACAGTCTGAATGTTGTTAAACAGTCTTAAACAGAATGTTGTTAAAGACAGATAAGTATTAATGGCTGGAAAATTGATTGACGTGGGACATTGTGGCTTAGGTTGTGAATAGATGTTATATAGGTTATTGGGAATTTTGTTATTCTTTAGTCGCTAAGTCATGTCCGACTCCTTGCGACCCCGTGGACTGTAGCCCGCCAGGCTCTTGTCCATGGGATTTCCCAGGCTAGGATATTGGAGTAGGCTGCCATTTCTTTCTCCAGTGGATCTTCCTGACCCAGCGACTGAACCAGTGTCTCCTGCATTGCAGGTGGACTCTTCACTGCTGAGTCACCAGAACAGTGAAAGTGTTGATCACGCAGTCATGTCTGACTTTTGGGGATCCCGTGGACTATAGCCCACCAAGCTCCTCTGTCCATGAGGTTCTCCAAGCGAGATTACTAGAATGGGTAGTCATTCCCTGCTCCAGGGGATCTTCCCAGCCCAGAGATCAAACCCAGGTCTCCTGCATTGCAGGTGGATCCTTTACCATCTGAGTCACCAGGGAAGCCCATTGGAAATTTAAGATAGCTTATAGTGCCTTCCAGTGGGACCTCTTTTCTTAACCGCTTGCTTGCTGCCTCTTCCTGGTACCAAATCCATTCACATGTGTGGATGGAAATGTAGTCTTTAGCCCAGGTTTCTGTCCCCACCTTCCAAGGGACATGAATACCTTATTATGTTAAAAGGATCATTTCAGTAGACACTGAGGACCATGATAATATTTGGATAGTAAAATTTAATTTGTCTCAGATGTGTATCTAATCACAGTTGACTTTCTATATAATGTGGAGTAAATTAATTTTTTTTTCATTTATTTTTATTAGTTGGAGGCTAATTACTTTACAATATTGTAGTGGTTTTTGCCATACATTGACATGAATCAGCCATGGAAGAATTTTTTTCTTGCTACAAAAGTAATCTTTGTTTATCGTAGGAAATTTGGAATACACAAGAAGACAAAAAACTAGTATAATCTTAGAATAATCCTCTAGATTCTAGAGCCTAGAATTCCCACCATTCGAAGATAACTTTTGTTAATAATTTGATGTTTTTCCTTCTAGTTCCCCCATCTCTAGACACATGTAATGCAATCAGGATAATTTGATATGTATTTTTAAATCTGCTTTTTTAACTTCAAACCATATTATGATCATTTTCTCAAATCTTTTAGAATTTATCCCTCAGTAGGATATTTGTGGTCACAGAATACTCCATCCTGGATGTGTTTCATAATTTATTTATACAACGAAGTCTCTACTCACAGACTGTCAGGTTGATTTTTAAATAATGGTAGGTTGTTTCAAGCCTTCAAGTTGACAGTCATTTGTTACAGCAGCAATTGGTAACTGATGCAGAGAGAGTATTCTGGTGGCTCAGGCGGTGAAGAACTTGCCGGCAATACAGGAGACCTGAGTTTGATCTCCGGGTCAGGAAGATTTCCTGGAGGAGGAAATGGCAACCCATTCTAGTATTCTTGCGTGGAGAACCCCATGGACAGAGGAGCCTGGTGGGCTACACTCCATGGGGTCACAAAGAGTCAGACACGACTGAGCGACTGAGCGCACACATATACAATGTAGATAAATCTTTGTGCACATCCCCAGTCATTTTCACTGGATAAATCTTTAGCATTTATCATTCTTGGGCCAGAGGGTGCTGCATTTCCGCTATGTGTTTAAGCCTTTTGTTTCACAGTGCACATGTTGACATGTTTCTGCCATTCACTTCCTGATGAGATTGTCAATATGAGAGACCATCCCTGGACCGCCGTCCATACAGTAAGAGGCACTTGACTCAACAAGGCACCTCTCTTCAGGGTCTATGGAAGAAAAAGACACAGCTGAAACCAGGGAGCCTCCTTTGCCCCGTGCTGACCTCTGCCTCACTCGCCTTCTTGCAGGGTGCCTTCTGAAGTGTTCTGGCCATGGGCACTGTGACCCCATCACAAAGCGTTGTATTTGCTCCCAGCTGTGGATGGAGAACCTGATCCAGCGTTATATCCGGGATGGAGAAAGCAACTGTGGTGAGTCCTGGCGTGGTGGGTGGGCTCCGGGTGAGGAAGCTTCAGACAAATCATTCTGAACTGTCAGAAAGACCTGTTTGACTGTACAGCTATAAATTCAACCCTTTTCTCATCCAAAGCCCATTGAACCAGCTCACGTGGTGATGGGTCAAGATATTCCCACAATTCACCTTGGGGGTGTGTTTAAGACTTTTCCTTAAAACTTCCTGCTGAGGAAATTCACCTCGGCAGAGCAGATGTCACTAACTATTGCTGAGAAGGTCGCTTTGGGCTACATGGACCCCATGTCCAGACTGTACCTGCCTTGGCTTGAACTGGGTGTGACCTTCTGGTGAAGTGGCCCATGGTGTCGACCTGGCTGGAATCAGATGAGCAAGAAAGTTGGCCTACTCCCCAGGCTGTCTGCCCAAGCAGGCTCCAAACACTGGAGCCACCATCTTAGCCAGAGTCTGCCTGAGCCACCGCCTCAGTCTCTTGTGAGGAGGAAACTGTGTTTAAATACCAGTCTGTTTCTAAGAGTCATTTTGTCTTCTTGGGGATGCAGATGGACATAACTGGCAGAAAAATTAGGACGAGCTCCCTGCCAAATTATGTTCCTGTTTCTACTTCTTAAAAATTTGAAAATAACCAGCCCTTGGATCATTATTCCAAGTAGTGTTATAACATTTAATAGAGTTAAACCTTGTGTCTTTGCTCCATTGGTTTCTCTCTTCCTGGGTTGTTGCAAAGCTTTTTACGCTGGATTTTTGTAAGGATGTGGAGGAAGTTAAGTGAAGATGAAATTGTTTCTGAATGACTGTCGGGCTCTATGATAAGTATCTTCATGTCATAGGCAGCCATACAAATGAGCACCTTATTTGCTTTATTGAAACCAGACCAGAACCAATATTGAGGTTCTGTGATTCTGGAATGAATGTTTTGATGTACCTTATTACTTGGGTGTTTCAGAAGCCTTCTTAATTGATGGATTTATTTTTTTCAGTTTCTTCTGTTCTCAGATCAGCATGCAATATGTGCTCCATGAGGTCCCTGAACCAGTTGGATAAATGTAGGATGGTTTTAAGTTGTTCTTGATTTGTTAGTATTTTACCAGACCCTGCATCCAGCCTGGTGAGGTGATCACAACACCACAGATGGCCTTTGCTTATAAGGATTCAGAAATATTCATTGAGAGTTATAGAAATAAAGCTGTTTTGCAGAGAGTATGTGACATGTCTGCTCTGGTTTTCCTGTCTTTCAGAGTGGAGCGTGTTCTATGTGACAATACTGACTCTTGCTCTCATTGTGCTGACAGGGGGTTTAACGTGGCTTTGCATCTGCTGCTGTAAGAGGTACCTGGCATGCTTATTTATTTCTTTGAAAATAAAGATGCAACATTCAAGGTGATAGGATAGGGTTAAGGGATGTTGCTCGGGTTTGTGAAACTGCTCAACTTTTGACAATCTCTCTTTTTATGAAGAGAGACTCGACTTTAAAACCACATGATAATATATTCTCCCCCACAGGGCTTCTGTGCCTACTAGTTAAATGGAATAATACTAGAGGCAACTTTTTTTTCATTACAGCTGTCATATTTTCTAGAAGATTCAATGCTTCTGTATCAAATCTAATCTTTTCTACCAGTCTCACATCACATTCACTAGAACACTACCTCAGTGGCCTAATCCACTCTCAGTAGAGAAAGGAGTCTAGAGTATACTGATCCAAATGGTAGGTTTTCATTAGTTTACATTTGAGAAGCAACAAATCTAACTGAATTCTTTTTCCTAAATGCAGAACTTTAAGTGAAGTGGCACCATCACCAGAGAAGTTTTGCTTTAGGTTTTTCCTTCTTTCTTTTCCCCCATGAACCTGACCGCTGAGGAACCCCAGACTTAACTAATGGTCCAAACCTTCCAGAACCCCATGCGCAACCCTCTGTGAGGACATTCATAAGAATAATGATTACTCAAGTCCTTAGAAGGCAGCATTGGGTCCACTTTCCTACATGGAACTCTATGAATGCTCTCCGAAGATTTGATAAACAAAATATAATTCAGTTCAATTTAGTTGCTCAGTCATGTCCGACTCTTTGCGACCCCGTGAACTGCAGCATGCCAGGCCTCCCTGTCTGTCACCAACTCTCGGAGTTCACCCAAACCCATGTCCATTGGGTTGGTGATGCCATCCAACCATCTCATCCTCTGTCATCCCCTTCTCCTGACCTCAATATTTCCCAGCATCAGGGTCTTTTCAAATCAATGAGCTCTTTGCATTAGGTGGCCAAAGTATTGGAGTTTCAGCTTTAACATCAGTCCTTCCAATGAACAGCCAGGAATGACCTCCTTTAGGATGGACTGGTTGGATCTCCTTGCAGTCCAAGGGACTCTCAAGAGTCTTCTCCAACACCACGGTTCAAAAGCATCAATTCTTTGGCGCTCAGCATTTTTTATAGTCCAACTCTCACATCCATACATGACCCCTGGAAAAACCAATGGTATACCATAATAATAGTTATTTTTCAGAGATCACTTATCAATTTTTGTAGTTTTATTTGTGATTACTTTTCCAAAGGTAGGACCAGTGAACGAGTGCATAGGCAGAGGTAATTAGCAGCCTCTATCCATTACATTTTCCCAGAACCATCTGGGATGAAGGTCACCCTGCTGTGCTTAGCTTTCAAAATTCTGCAGCTTTGTGACATTTGTATCAAGTAGAAGATGATGACAAGAGTGACTGAGCATTTATTAAGTACTTGCCATTATAATGAATGCTTCTAAGTGCTTTCTATGTGTTATCTTATTGAGTTTTCCCATCAATCATGTGAGAAAGGAACTGTTCTTATTCCCATTTTACAGGTGGGAACATGCAGTCCAAGAGATGAGAAAAAATGGCCTCACAGTCACTCAGCTAATAAACCCAGAGTTGGAAGCCCATGCTCTTAATCAAATTCTCAGAATATTGCCTTTGTTTGTTCTTTACAAATCTTACCATAGTGTCTATGTGTATTTTCAGATTATCCTCTGAAGCATAGGTGAGGTCCGTAGGATCAGCCTGGTTGTCTTGATGTGTTGTGAAAAAATGAAAGACTGAGTTATTGCTTCTTCCTTTGGGAGAATTTATTATAACTTCTGTTGATTTTTTTTCTGATTGCTAATTATGTCATCTTGTCATTCTTGCATCTTTGGACATCCCAGGGTAATATAGGTTCAGGGGGAAACTTGTTCATCCAGGTTTTTCTGAGGAAGGAATTCCTCATGGAGAAAAGCTTGCTGGGCCAACACACAGTTGCTGGAAGGTCCTTGCATCTCAGCCTGAGGCTTAGGTGAGAACCTGGAGTTAGGTGATAACAGCAGTGCTATTCTGACATGTGTTTCTTCAGGATGATGGCGTAGGCAAGAAAGAGACTCACAGACTTAGAGAACGAACTCATGTTTGGGGGAAGGATGAGGGGGAAGAGATCGTTAGGGACTTTGGGATGGACATGTACATACTGCTGTATTTAAAATGGATAACCAGCAAGGTCCTACTGGACAGCACATGGAACTCAGCTCCGTGTTATATGGCAGCCTGGATAGGAGGGGAGTTTAGGAGAGAATGCATGCATGTGTATGTATGGCTGAGTCCTTCGCTATTCATCTGAAACTGTCAGAAAATTGTTAATTGACTGGGTCAGTGTAAAGAATCCACCTACTAATGCAGAAGATGCAGATGCAGGCTCAATCCCTGGGTCAGAAATATCCCCTGGGGAAGAAACTGGCAACCCACTCCAATATTCTTGCCTGGAGAAATCCATGGACAGAGAAGCCTGGCCAGCCACAGTCCATGGGGTCACAAAAGAGCTGGACACGACTTTGCGACTAAGTAACAACAGTATCAAATGAGAAGTTAAAAAAAAAGAAAGGCACATGATGTATCTCAGGCTCACCAAACCCAGATTGGGCTGTGACACACATCATTAATGAAGAAGATTGTTTGTGTGTTAGACACTCAGTCGTGTCCTCTGGGCTCCTCCGTCCATGGGATTCTCCAGGCAAGAATACTGGAGTGGGTTACCATTCTCTTGTCCAGGGGATCTCTCCAACGCAGGGTCTCTCTCAAACCTGGGTCTCCCACATTGCAGACAGATTCTTTGCCATCTGAGCCCCCAGGGAAGCCCCACATATCATTAATAAAAGATGCCAACGAATAAAATGTAGTAGCATTCTAAAGGCAAAGCAGTTCCTTTAGTGTCCTCCACGGGTTTTAAATCCTGGATGCCACCTACCTCCTTGAGACTCTGAGTGGACCTTTCTCTTTGTCCTTTTCAGACGAAAAAGGACTAAAATCAGGAAGAAAACGAAGTACACTATCTTGGACAACATGGATGACCAGGAAAGAATGGAGCTGAGGCCCAGATATGGTAGGTCTCCGAGACAGTCTCCCAGAGCCTTACCAGCATTTAATCTCGGCATCTGAGAGTCACCCTGTGAGGATGCAGCTGATAAGTGACGAAGCTTGGCCTCAGGCTCAGGAGTGATTCCAGAGCCCCTGTTAACAGCCACCAGGAAACCCCAAGCACCTGCTGCCTCCTAAGTGATGGCTTTGCAGGTGCAGAGCGCAGGGCTCGGTGCCCGGGACCAGAATGATGGATGGTGGAGAGGGAGAGTGCCGCTCCCCTCCAGAGGCATCTGTCCGTTTCTCCCTAGGTATCAAGCACCGAAGCACAGAGCACAACTCCAGCCTGATGGTGTCCGAGTCCGAGTTTGACAGCGACCAGGATACAATCTTCAGCCGAGAGAGGATGGAGCGAGGGAATCCGAAGGTTTCCATGAACGGATCCATCAGAAATGGAGCTTCCTTCAGCTATTGCTCAAAGGACAGATAATGGAGCGGTTGGTTGTGAAACAGAAGGATGCCTACAGGAATCCTTTAATCCCGGAGAGTCGGTGGGAGTTACAGACAAATCTCAACTCTTGTTAGTATAGCGTGTTCCCGTCCTTTCACACTGGGCTGGAGGTGTGTCCCTGTAATTTAAAAGACCTGTCTTCTTGGGGTCTTTGAGACACAAAACAGAACGAAAACAATGTTCTTTTCACTGAGATGCTTGTTAGTAGGAGTAAAGGTTGGGTAAGACGCTAAGGTATATGCTTAAAAGAGCTCTGTGTTTTTGTACCTAACACAGCATTATATTCCTATGTTAAGAAAAAGATGAATCTGTTTCTGTCTGCAGACCCCTGGGGAAGGTGAGTTCAGTACGGATGCAGAGAGGGCTGACTTCTCTTAGGAGCGGTAATTGCCTTTGAAGATAACTTTCCCAGTGTGGTTTCTGTCATAAGAGCCTTGGAGCCTGAGGTCTGTGTGTATTGAGCTGATTTATCTGCAGTGTGGGTTGTCCTCTGTCCAGCCAGTTTCCTGTGTTGAAGAGACACACGTACAGAGCTGAGGTCTCCTGTTTTTGCTGCTTCGAGATGGCCAACCACCATTTCTGTGCTGTTTCTAGCAAGTAGCTCTAGGAAGTTTGAGAGCTCAATGAGAACTGTATTCTGAGGACCAGAGGCAACAGAGAGGGAGGTGGGGTTTGCTGACTTGTGGGTTGAAAATCGAAGATAACATTTTAACAGGTTTTACCTTTTCTTGCTCCGAGAGAAACAAACTATTGCTGAGGCCTCTCTCAGCTTCAGTTTATAGGAAACACGAGGAAAGTGATTAGTAATTCATTAGCTGTTTATCATGTGCAATAGGCCGTGCGTTTGGACCTCCACCAATAGGAATAAAGACTGAGCAACTTTGTAATATACACAGTCAGGGATGTGGGCCCCGTGGATGCAGAGGTGGTAAGGGGGAGGGCTGAGTGTATTCCCAAACTCTGAATCGCCTCCGGTCTTAATGAGAATGGTTTGCTTCTGATACTCGGCCCCTGTAGTTACTCTTCCTAATAACTTGACATAGATATCCACTTAATTTGTTTAAAACTATATTTATTCTGCCATTTTCTACTAAATAGCTTATTTTAAATATATGGAAAAAATTAAAGCATCTCTAACCACAAAGCCGCATCCGAGAGCAATGAACTGCAGTGACCTATAGCCTGAGAACCCAGCTGGCTGCTGATGCTTTGCCGTCCGCTGTGGTCCTGAGACCGATGGCCTGGGTGATGCCCTTGGCGTTCTTTGTGAAGGGATCAGAATGAGGGACGGGCCTGTCGCAGACAGAACCAGGGCTGTGGCGTCAAGCATGACCAGATTTAAGCAATATTCTGTTGCCCAAGCTTTTGTCACAGGAGAGGGAAACCGGGACTGCTTTGCTATGAGTAAGTGGAGAAGCAAGGCCATTAAACCATCAGGTTTAAATCATCAGGACAGGACAATAGAGAAAACAGTTCCCATGGGCCACTGAAAAAAAGGAAGCTTTCCGGTGCTGTTCTCGCTGCTAATATCCATCCTCATGAGACCGTCTTGTTTTTAATTATTCTGTTTTCTGGGAAATGGCAAAAGTAAAAAGCATACAGGTGTGATTTTATTTTTAAGCATTTCTTTATGTCTGCACTTTCTGTCTAGCCAGCCAGTTCAGTCCTATTGATGGTGTTAGAAGGAAAATGTGATGCTTTTTACATAAATATTTAGCTTCGCGAACTTAAAATCTGCCCTACCCAGTGGCCAGTTATATTATTTTCGTGCGCAATGGAAATTTCTGGCACAGAGGATGGCAGCCTAAATATGATGTCGGCAGAGCGCAGTGATGGAGAAGGAGTGATCATGTGTTAAGTGCTATGTACATAATACATGTATTTTACATACTCTATTGATCCTTACAATCAAGCTGGAAAGGTAGCTGCTATTCTCATATTGAATATAATAAAGGCCCAGAGAGTTTAAGTAACTTGCTCAAGGTCATGGCCAGTCAGTGGTGGATATAGGAATCGAATACAGATTTTGTAAGCTTCAAGGTCCATGCCTCCCACCCTTCTCCCCTATACACAAAGGACTCCCATGCCCCGTTATTGGAGGGCAAATTCTGGTGGGTCTTTTGGACCACTTGGAAGTTTGGTTACTAGGACCAAGAATTCCCTCTGTGAAGGGAGCAGAAGGCGAAGGGGAAGAAGACTTCATCTTTTCTGTGAGATCATACCCGAGGCTGCCTCTCTGGGTGGCTGAGCACGGCTTCTGCCCTTTCTGACCCTGTCTCCAGCCCAGTGGGTCTGATCCTTCTACCTACCACCGATGGATCGTGAATCTATGGTGGGTCAAACATAAACACCACACCAGAGATCAGAAAGTGAGTCCTCTCTTGTTATCCCATTTCTCATGAGAGGAGCTGAGTGTGAGGAGGAATGCAGCCAGCATCCTCACTTGTACACTTTGCATTAAGGAGCTTGGGAAGATGAAACTCTGTAGGAGCTTAGATGAGCAAAGCGGGGCCCAAGAATGTGGGAGAGGCCAGTGGTGGGGCTCACAAGATGACCAGACTATTAGTTGCTGGCTAAAAAAAAATCAGTGGTGGAGCATTCAAACCCACAGTATTAAGAGGTCAAGCATGTGTATGACTACGGAACCTGCTGAAAAAGACGCAGTGAGGTAAGGAGTAATACCACGTGGCATGCCAACGCCACCTCCTTTATTGGCAGAGAGGAGGGGCAGTACTGTTCTTTTCTGTGACCAAACCATCATGAACTTTGGCTGAAGTCTTGGTTTTCTTTACTTTTTTTTTTTTAATGTCTTTCCCCCATGTACTGACAAGGTATCATTTCTATTATAACACTATTAAATGTATGTGCTAATCTGAATAAAAGTGTCTGTATTCTCTGTAATGCCTCCACGTCGTTGGGTGCATCAGGGGGATATTCATTCTCTATACTTCTGTGTGGATGGATTTCCCGGAGAGGAGGCAGCAGACTGGCCCATGACCTGTTATGGGCCAGTGAGTTAACAGTGGTTTTTACATTTTTAAATGGGTGAAAAAAATCATATTTCTGTGATGCTTGAAACTCACATGGAATTCAGATGTCAGTTCAGTTCAGCTCAGTCATTCAGTCGTGTCTGACTCTTTGCGACCCCATGAACTGCAGCACGCCAGGCCTCCCTGTCCATCACCAACTCCTGGAGTTTACTCAAACTCATGTCCATTGAGTCGGTGATGCCATCCAACCATCTCATCCTCTGCCGTCCCCGTCTCCTCCTGCCTTCAATCTTTCCCAGCAGCCGAGTCTTTTCGAATGAGTCAGTTCTTCGTGTCAGGTGGCCAAAGTATTGGAGTTTCAGCTTCAGCATCAGTCCTTCCAATGATGTCAGTGTCCCTAAATAAAGTCTTACTGGAACACAGGCACATTCTTGCATTCCTTTGTGCTACAACAATAGAGGTGAGTAGTTTCAACAGAGGCTGTGTCCTAAGAATATAATGTAATGTAATATAATATAATCTGACAGAACACCTGAACACTCACTCTTGCCCACTAGCCCACTGGGACAGTGGTGGTGTCTGTGGTCTAAATTTTGGCCATTCCTTCCTGGTTAGCTGATAAAATGGATGGATTATAAGTAGACTTACAGACCACCAATTTCTAAACCCACTTCCACTTACTTATAAATAACATACAAATAGAATATAGCCTTTCAATATTCACACCTAGCATGACCTATTTTTTTCCCCAGGACAGATTTCCCACACTCAATAAATGAAAACCACACTAGTTGGTGTTTTAATTTGTTGCAAGCTAAGTCAGAGATAAAGAAACTGTAACAGGTGAAAATTTACTGCTAGAAATAGTAGGAAGAAGAAAATACACTTCCAGGTGAAGGCCCAGACTAAGCATGAAGCAAACCCACAAATTGAGTGTAAAAAAAACAGAAACAGCAATAGAGTCAGGCGACCATAGGAGGGCGCTCTCACGCCCTGTGATGATAGCAGAGCCAGACAGGAGGAAGACCTCTCTTTCCTGATAAGGACTCAGCCAATGAAAAGCCACGAACTCTTTAACCCGCCCGACTTCCGTTTCCTCCCTATAAAAGCATTTTTTCCTTCTGTTGGTCTGCAGGGACTTGACTTGATGCAACTGGCTGTGGTTGCAGACCTCAAGTTACAGTTAGTTCTCTGCTTGTCCTAACTAAACCCATCTTTGCTGGAACAGTATCTGGGAGTTCCTTTCAGGTCAACAAGAGGTAAGTGGATCATTTTTCCTGGTAACAAAGTAATTTTAAAAATCGAAAGCAGGTTAAGAGAAACGCATGGAGTAAATGGAATGAAAAAGGGAGATGGGTATCCAGGAATGCTGTTCTTTTTTGGAAAGAATGCTATGTTTTCTTATTTTGTTCAAGGCCTACTGATGTAACTTGGATTCAGTGAGGCCTACGTGAAAGTTTTGAAAATATAAACGAACACTGGATGAAAGTATAAGATATGCTGTCTAAATAATTAACAGTGATTTTATCTGAATAGCATGGTTTCAGAAGATGCCTTCCTCATACACTTCTGTAGCCAAAAAACCCAAATTTTGATAAAAGTACATAATGGATAACCATGGCCTGTGTAGGAGAGACTGGTGAACTTGAGAAAGCCGGAGGATCCTCCTTTCTTAGACAGCCACACCTGCAAACCATGTAAATTCCGGCTTAGTTCAGCAAGCATGTAATTAGCACAAGCCATGGGGCAGGCTTAGACTCAGTAACCTTAGACTCAGTGGAGTCTAAGCTCCTCCTGCTGTCCGTACATAGGCCAAAAATTGAGAGACGGGTTGTTGGGGCAGGACATAATGGTTTTATTCAGAAAGGCAGCAGGCTGCAAATATGGTGGGCTCATGCTCCAAAGAACTGTCTTGCTTGAGTTAGAATTCAGGCTTCTTTTATACTAAGAGAGGAGAGAGTAAACTCAAAACACTTCCTGGTTTCCATCAGCCTCTGTGGAGGGGTGTGGAGGGTTCCTCCTGCCTACAGCCATACACAGATGGGCCTGGTCAGGATATTTCCTCTGAGCTAAACAAAGGCATTTTAGCTTAATGCTCATTACCTGGGAAGCAGGGTTCTCAGAGACGAGCCATTACGAATAATTGCTGCTATTGTTTAGTCACTAAGTCATGTCTGACTCTTTTGCAACCCCACGGACTGTAGCCCACCAGGCTCCTCCATCCATGGGATTTTCCAGACAAGGGTACTGGAGTGAATTGCCATTTCCTCCTCCAGGGGATCTTCCTGACCCAAGGGTTGAATGCATGTCTCCTGCATTGACAGGCAAATTTTTTACCACTGAGCTACCAGGGAAGTCCTATTAACTTGTAATAGAATACAGGTTTCTTCCCTACTGCAGTCCCTGCTGTATGAATGTACCGAATTTCATAGGCTGGCTCCCTGCCCAAGAGACTCACAGACTAATCAAAGGAGCATTGTTTATACATGTAGCAGAGAAATAAATTTTTCCTCAGCCTTTCTGAGTTCTCGGCTGAGACCACTGCCATAAAAGATTAACAAGAGAAAAACAAATTTTAATAAACGTCTCATGTATATCTCAGAGAGAAGTGATAACTGAAAGTGGCTTAAAGCATCAGCTTACATAGCATCCTCAACAAAGAACAGTAAATCTCTGGAGAAATGACAGGATAGAGGAAAACAGTTGTAGGCTTTCAAGGGTGGAGCCAAAGGCTAGTTAGTAAAATTTATTATTTAGAGTCCAGGCTGATTGGGCCTGAAGTTGTCTCTGGGAATTAACCTTTGTCCCTCCCTCTTGATAGAGAGGGGGCACCTTTGTAAATTTGTATCCTGCTTTTGGGGCTTCCCTGGTTGCTCAGTGGTAAAGAACCCGCCTGCAATGCAGGAGACACAGGTTCCATCCCTGCGTCAGGAAAATCCCCTGGAGGAGGGCATGGCAACCCACTCCAGTATTCTTGCCTGGAGAATCCCAAGGACAGAGGAGCCTGGCAGGCTACAGTTCACGGGGTCGCAAAGAGTCGGACATGACTGAAGCGGCTTAGCACTCATCCGACTTTTAGGCAAATAGAGGGGTAACAAAAGACAGAGTGATTTTCTCTTTTATCTGCCACTTAATTGTCTTCAGCTCACAAAAATCCTTATGCCAAAGTGGCGCATTTTGGGGTGGCGTGTCCTAAACTCCTGCAGTCATATTTGGATTGAGGCATACATATGCAAACTGGTCTAATGATCTCCAAAGTAAACTCAAATGATGAACTGGCAAGAAAAATCCCACAAACCAGAAACCTTCACTTAAAACAGGAAATTCTCTTAATTCAACCTTTATTAATCACACACACACAACTCTGCTGCATTGACACACATACACAGTTATCAGAAACTGGAAAGTGAATTACGTGTACATTTTTAAAAAACAAAATGTTTTCACAGTTCCAACTACACTTATCCCCAAGTTTTATCCCACAAAATAGAGCATGAAAAAAAACCACAGCGTAAATATTATTCAAGTAAAATGCTATCTATCATAGCCGCATATGAATAATTAATATTTAATAATAATTATAATTATTATAATATTAATTATTATTAATAATAATAATTCTCTGGGCTTCAGCCTGCAGAGAAGGCAGTCATGTGGCACAGTTTAAAGTTAATGATCTAAGTTTACAATAAAACAGATTTATCTGCATTGCGCTTCACTAAGTCTTTCCATAAAAATTAAAGGTAGATGAGCCAACACTTGATATAAAAATATATTTAAAAGCTACTCAAATGGATAAAGATAACAGGTACAGAGGAGGTTTAAAATGAGAAGAATCCCTGCATAGCTGGGGAAAGTCAACTGAGAAGTGTTTTCTCAAGACCAACAGACTCCCATTATCTGGGTGATTTCATATGAGTTATGTGACGATTGCTGGAAAATTCTTGGTGAGAATTCACTGGAGCAAGGCCTGGAAAAGTACTTTTTACACAGTAGGTGGTCAATAAAATGAAATAATGCCTCATAAACTTGGGAAAGTCAATATCTTCCTCTTGGTTTAGATCAGAGGTTGGCCAACTATTTCTGTAAAAAACTGTGGTACAGATACTCAACTCTGCCTAGAAGGTAGCCACAGATCATATGGTAAATGAATGGGTGTGGCTGGGTTCCAATAACATTTTATTTGGGGCTTCCCTGGTGGGTCAGATGGTAATGAACCTCCTGCAATGCAGGAGACCCAGGTTCGATCCCTGGGTTGGGAAGATCCCCTGGAGAAGGGAATGGCTATCCACTCCAGTAATGCCTGGAGAATTCCATGGACAGAGGAGCCTGGCAGACTATAGTCCATGGGATAGCAAAGAGTTATGGACACTGATATCTGAATTTCAGAAAATTTTCATGTGTCATGAAATACTATTCTTTTGATTTTTTTCCTCCCCTAACCATTTGGGAATATAAAAACCATTCTTAGCTCTGGGTTGTACAAAAGCAGACAGCAGGCCACATTTGGCCTGTGAGCCAACCCCTGGTCTAATGATCCTTTTCTATTTCACGTTAAAACACACATTTTTAACAAATCCATCACATATTCCATCACATATCGATCACCTTACTGAACAATAACCCCCAAAAATGTTCATTTAAAAAATACATCTTTCCTCACAATCCAGATCAATTTTACTAAACAGTAAGCTATTTCCTAATTCAAAAAATAATCAAGGATATTGCAGTGAGTCTCTGGCCCTCAATTTATGTACCTGGTCAAACAGATATACTAGAAAATTCAAAATCTGCCATCAAGCCAAAGCAGCTACTGAGTTACAAAGTTACAAAGTATTTGAATGTATTCCCCCAAACATTTCAAGCACTAGTATTCTGGACTTCTAAAAACTATTTAGAGCATTTTTATTGTTAATAGAGAACAGATGGACACATCCAAACATTAAGTAATTAAATGTTACATGAAACAACCCCAGAACTGGTAAGTGCAAATTCACTGTCAATATGATGTGTATGTGACTGTGGACAGGGTCTGAGCAGTGCCCGTCACCCGGAGGTGGACTTCAGCTGATTCCTTAGCTGGGCCTCAGGGGGATGGCTGATGTAACCCAGGGCAAACAGAGGCCAGCTCTGGGACTGGCCATGGTACCTCTGTGCACAGAGACATCTCAGACCTTTAGCTCTTCAGCTCCCCATGGCTCAGTGAGGGGTGCTCTGTCCTGGCTGGTCCAGGAGCAACTGCCTCCAGCACTCCTTTTATTCATGTTTTCCTTCCGCTCCCCAAATCCAGAGGATGTCAATGGAGTGTGCACGCACACACAGTGGAAAGGGGGAGCTTCATCCCTGTCTCTTCCACCAGGACCGGCCTCCCCTTTCCTCATATATCAGGACGTTTAGACACGGTTTTCTCAATCAGAGTTTTTCTTTCAGAGCAACAGGAAACAGTGATCATTGGGCTTTTTGTTTTTAAAAGAACTATAAAAACTCATTGGATAAAAAGTGCCTCTTCCACCTGGCAACTATGGAAATTCTTTTCCCTTTGGAGATCATTGTGCTCAAAGTGCTTTTGCTGTCTCTCTGCAGGTGAAGGAGCAGCATCTCCTAAAGAGCAGGCTGTGGGAGACCAGCCCTCCCTGGGGCTCAGGGGCCGAGCAGGTGGGTACCAGCCTCCCCTCACCTTGGCAGAGCCACTGCTGGAGACCCAAGCCGGGCTGGGAGGTGCTTCCCATAATAATGCTGACTCCCGCACTTAACATCGAATTTTCACTTTTTGGCAAATATTATATGTTTGCTTTCTCTTACGTTCACAGTATCCCATGGAGCTAAGTAAGGCATGAACAGAATCTCCACTGTACTGAGGGGTGGGTGTGGGGGGTAGACGGCATGTCTGTGCAGACAAAGCCCGGCCAGGCCATTACCTGTGGGCCATCCTCCTGCTAAGCTGCTGCCGCCATGCTCGGCTTTATGCTTATTTTCTCTCAGAAACATGATGTGGAAAAACAGCACAGAAGTGAACACAGAATCTTTAAGCAGTTGAGGATGATGGAGCCTTCAGTTTAAAAACTAGTCAAAAAAAAGAGCGGGGTTCTTTAATTTGTCAAAGAAATTCAGGCAATTCTGTGCTGTGTCTAAAGTTCTTAAAAAACAAAAACAAAAACGCTGATTTAGCCGCTGCAGCAACACCTCCGAATACCCAGCTGGGGGGGTCCCCAGGCATGCAGCGGCATCCTGCCCAGCCTGTCAGTCACGCTCAGAGGTGTCCCCCGCAGCCCCCTGGGTCTTAGCTCCAGAGCCACCTGGGTGCTGGCTACGTCATTGCCCAGGCTGTGGTCCCACTGTGGTGAGGGGGCTGCAGGACCAGTTTGTTGCACCTTGCTCTGTGGCAGATGAGGTCGTGGGTGGGGGTGTGGTGGCTGGCGATCCGGGGCCTCATCCTATAAACCCACTTCTGGTTCTCAGGGATCTGTGGCCACAGGTTTGTGGCATGTATTGGTCCCACATCAGCTAAGGGGAGGGGTAGGATTTGTATCTGCTTAAAAGGATTGGATGATTTTTTTTTTTTAATTCCTAGTTCACCTACCCTATGGGTTTATTTAAAATAATGGATGGCACGTCCCCATACATAGGTAAGCCTCCCTTTTTATTTTCTGAAGAATCCTATAAGCCTCCGAAGCACACGTACTTGAGCTCCAGATATTCGTCGATGCCATACTTGGAGCCCTCTCGCCCAAGGCCAGACTGCTTCACCCCGCCGAAAGGGCACTCCGCGGAGGAGATGAGTCCTTCATTAACACCAACCATGCCCACTTCCAGCCGCTCCGCCACCCTCCAGATCTGGGCCGGGTCTTGAGAGTAAAAATAACCTGTCATGGGGATACAGGACACAGATGTAGAACAGTCATTAAAGACAGCGTGTCACAGCTGAGGGTGCCATGGATGACCAGCTGCCTAGTCACGTGGGCTGGAACCTCCCTGCTTCCAAGTGGAGCCCCTAGTTGATCCTGTCTGTGTCTTCATCCCACAACCTTTAGAAATCATCTTTTTGCTTCTGTTCTACTCTCGCTAGCTCTCTCACCATCTCCAGCTAGGGCTGTAACAGCAATGAACCCGGCTCCTATGGCCTCCTAATCAATCCACACTGCACACATCTGTTAGGTTATCCACGTGATATTTTTTACCCAGACCTTCCAGTGACTCCTTGTTACCCATAAATAGGTTAAGTTCTTGGTGCGTATTCAAACTCTCCCTAATGTGGTTTCGACCAACATGACAGCTTTATCTTCCATTATTGCAGTCACTCTATCGCCACCAAACTCATCCACCCAGTTCTCCTGTCCTATTTTCACTTAACTTCCTAGGTCCCCCTCTGCCCAGAGCCTCTCTCCTCCAATCTGCACCATCAGTCTTGCCCAGCATGGACGCTGTGGTTCAGGGCCTGGCTTCTTCCACCATCATCCCATCGAGAAGGCACTGGAGGAATACTGGGCTCAGCGTTACGGGGGCACTCGTGCACACATCTTACTCCAGCGTTAGGCCCTCTGAGTCGGCAACTCAGTCTGTGTAGTAGAATAAGGGACTCGAGAGCGTGCCCATCCTTTCTCTGGTTGGCAGTGGTTCTTGTCCACCCAGAGAAGCGCCTAGAGCCACAGCTGTATCTTTATGTCTTTGTATCTTTGCCAACACTTCATCCAGTAGCGGATGCTAAAGACAGATTTGTTGAGTGTCTTTATGCACACACAGTTTTGTCAGGGACACAGGGTACATACTATGGCTGCCTTGACCATGTCCAAACTGCAAGAACGGCAGCCACTCCGTGAGGCTCCCTCTGCCTGTGCTGTCTTCCCTTCCTTCATCGCCCCGATGCTCTCTGTGAAGTCAAGTACTATCTCTTTTGTTCGGGCTTCCAGGAGGGATGTGAGGAAAAGCACTTGGAATTTCCATGCATCGAGCCTCTGGGGACATGGGACTTAAGGGGTGTGGGCGGTTCTCCCCTAGAACAGTCGGGATTGCTGTTTCTCCCTCCAGAATGCCCAGCTCCAACCAGGGAGCTCCTATCCCACATCCTGGGGACATCTGGGCAAAGAATCTGGACTGGCACAAACCCGCCCTTGCCCCTTGGAAAGCAATGAAAAGTGCTGCAAAGAAGCTGACTTCTCAAAACCTCAGGCGACACTTAAAAGGCACAGCTGGAGAAGTGACTGTGATTGTCGCCAAGCGAGGACAGACACCCACCTGCCAGCCCGACGTCGGCCGCGTTAGCGATCGCCACCGCCTCCTCCTCTGTGTTGAACCTGCCAAAGTCAGGGTGGTCATCAGCAAAATCCCTCAGGGAAAGAAGACCACCTGTTTTTCCTTCTGATCTGTTTCCCAAATAAGAACTAGGGGTCAAGCAGAGTTTCCCAAGGAGCAGAGAGGAAAATACCTTCATTCACTGCACATGCCGAGTTCAAGGCTAGGGAGCTTGGATCAACACCAGTTCATCTCTTCTAGGAGAACAGGAGACACGCAGGGAACTACTGTGTATTCAGAATGTCGAATAAAACGCCTAAGAAAAGGATTACTGCTCTTGTTCCCTCTTAAGACGTGCGCCAATCATAATAACTACTTGAGAAGCAGCCGTGATGTGGGAGACAGACAACAGTCAGGGCCTGCATCAGCCCCGCCGCTTATGCTCTGACGGTATGACAGTGCTGGGGGTCTGTTCCCCTTGGAAATGAGACTACCAGTACGGAAGCCTAATGCAGTCTCTTCCAGCTTGATCATCTCATTTCTGAAACCAAATTTCAGAGGCCTTTTTCTGTTGCCCCAGAACTGTAACTGGGGGCAGAACATTCTGTGCATCCCAGCTCCTCAAATCGGAGACCCAGCAGCAGCCAGCCCTCTGAAGGCTCGGGCAGAACTGGCAAACCCCAGTCAGTGGGAGAGGATGAGTGGGAGAGAGAGGAGGGGACCGCAAGAGAATCACTTGTTCCAAGGACGAGCAACTCTTGTCTCTCCACTGTAGAGAGCAAGCCATTCTATCGGCCAGAGAATAAAAACCAGGGAGTCACCCATGTCCTCGCTGCCTGCATGTCCCTCGAAAATGCACTCATCACACCGTCAGGTGGGACGTCCTCGACGATTTCACCTTTTGAGCATGAACTCCCTGGTGGCTCAGAAAGTAAAGCGTCTGCCTGCAATGTGGGAGACCCGGGTTCGATCCCTGGGTCGGGAAGATTCGCTGGAGAAGGAAATGGCAACCCACTCCAGTATTCTTGCCCGGAAAATCCCATGGACGGAGGAGCCTGGTGGGCTACAGTCCATGGGGTCCCAAAGAGTTGGACACGACTGCATGACTTCCCTATTTACACAATAACAACCACCCTGATATTAGGTGACGTGCTTTATGTATATTACATCGTTTAAACCTTACAACTGTCCTGTGAGGCAAGGTTTTTTGTTTGCTGTTGTTTAGTCACTAAGTCGTGTCTGACTCTTTGCAACCCCATGGACTGTAGCCCACCAGGCTCCTCTGTCCATGGAATTCTCCAGGCAGGAATACTGGAGTGGGTTGCCATTTCCTACTCCAGGGATCGAACCTGAGTCTCTTGCATCTTCTGCATTGGCAGGCAGATTCTTTACCACTGTTCCACCTGGGAAGCCATGAGGCAGGTACTAGTTTTTAGTCCTTTTCCCATCAAGGACCCTGGGGCTCAGAGAAGTTAACTCATTCAAGGGGACACAGATATAAAGTAGCAAAACCTGCATTCCTAACCCCTGCATCCTTTTGGAAAATGTCAAGTTCATATTCTCAGTAAAAAACTTTTTTATTAAAACAAAGATGAAAGTTCTCCAAGTGGTCCATTCTCCCAGTGTCAGATTAATCTATAAATTTCATTAGCAATGGAAGAGAGAGAAATATTTGGAGAAATAATGACCAAGAATTTCCCTGGACTAAATAAACACCTCAGATTTTAAATAGAGGCCTTAGGATCTCAGATTGAAAAGAAGCTCACAGTATGCTGTATCTAAGCTACCACGGTAAAATTTAAGAACATCAAAGGCCATGAGTCTCTGAAGAGAAAAAGATCCCTTCACAGGAACAAGCAGCAGACATCAGCTTTCTCAGTAGCAACCCTGAAAATAAGCAGACCAAGGAGTGATGTCTTGTGAAGCTAGATTTTTATGCAGGTAGATTATTATTTACTTGTGAGTGTGGGAGAAAAGGTCCCATAAGAACACAGAGTTCATTTCCCACAGACACCCTTGAAAGAACCCTTGAAGGATGTACTCCGTTATGAAGAAAAATGAGTTTGGTAGGAAGCAAAGTAGAGAATTTGGTAAATTTTGTGGTCTAAACTGGCAATAATGAAAACCAATTTTTAAAAAACCGTACCTTGAACTTGGCCCTTCCCCTGACACAACCCCACTCTCTGTTTCTCTGCCTCTCCCCCCAGGCCTCAAATGACACAGGAACTGGATTACTCTCTAGGCTTCCTCTTCCTTTCCTACTGTTCCCTCCCATCTTCCTACACGCTGGATGGTCTTACTTGATAACAGGCGCCACAGGCCCAAAAGTCTCTTCCTGAGAGCAGAGCATGTCTCGGGTGACGTTGCTGAGCAGGGTGGGCTCGAAGAAATTTTCCCCAACGTGGTGTCGCTTCCCACCTGTCACAACGGTGGCCCCTTTGGAAATGGCATCACTCACGTGTTTCTCTACCTGTGTGAGGAGAAAAGGAACAGCCGTTGGGAAAGGGAATCCAGAATACTTGGAAGATGTTTGAACTGTCAGAAACTATAACTGGGTTTTTCTTTCTTTTTCAAATAGGTTCGAAACCATGTACCCCAGTTCCTTCTAGGTAGGAAGAACCAAATACACAGATACGAGATACGGAGTCAAGAGGGCAGGTGGTATGTACAATGCTGCCTCCTCCCCACTCACTGGGAGGACTGAAGCTGAAGCTCCAATACTTTGGCCACCTGATGCGAAGAGCCAACTCATTGGGAAAGACCCTGACACTGGGAGAGGTTGAGGGCAGAAGGAGAAGGGAACAACAGAGGATGAGATGGTTGGATGGCATCACCAACTCAGTGGACATGAGCCTGAGCAAACTCTGGGAGCCAGTGAAAGGACAAGGAAACCTGGTGTGCTGCAGTCCGTGGGGTCGCAAAGAGTCGGGCATGACTTAGCGACTGAACAACAGCAACCCTGATCTGTGGGTTTCCGGCTATTTGGTCTTACTGTTTGTTGAATGGCCCTAATACACATACACTCATGTCTTTCCAGGCCTGACGCTCAGCTGCCTTTCTGGGATTTGCTCTCCTCGCCTTCCTGGGTTAGTTCCAGGCTCTTGGATCCCACATTGTTCTTGTCCCTGGGCTCCTCTTTCACTTTGTTCTAATATCTTCTAATTAGATATTATTAGATATCTTATTAGATATCTTCTAATATCTTCTCCTCGAGTACTAGTTATTTCGAAAAAGGTGCACTGAAGATGGTTTATATTCGGAGTGTTCTGATAACTGTAGGTTGGGTGGTTTTATCTTGCACTGGCTGCTAATGGAATTTGGACCCCAAATAATTTTCCATCTGAGTGTTGAGTGTATTTCTCTACTTATGGTGCTGACGATGAATATTCTAATTCAAGAACAGTTCTCACTCCTTTATGGGTTGAATTCAAGCTTCTTGAATCTTTTTTGTATGTTCCTGACATTCTAAAATTTTAGCAAAACATATCTGGGTTTTCTCTTTATTCTAATTCTATATACTTGTCAATTGGCAAAGTCTTTCAGTCTGAAGAATTATTTCCCCCTAGCTCTGAGAGGTTTTCCTCTAGCATTTGCTTGATAGACCTGTTTCTTCCACTTCAAGAATTTCTAGAGCTTCCATCACTAAAATGGGTACACCCCTGTGTGGCTGTGTGTGCATGTTCAGTCATGTCTGACTCTTTGTGATTCCCATGGACTGTAGCCTGCCAGGCTCCTCTGTCCATAGGATTCTCCAGGCAAGAGTATGTACTGTCTTCTTAAAATTCTCGGAGGACAATATTAGATTCCTAGAAATGTCTGATCTCAAAAACAAAAAGCCTTTTTCCTCTCCTTTTAGGTGTTCCAAAGATGAAGGAACTGTATTTCAAGATGGTAATTCCTGAAGCAGCAGGAGACAGAATTATCACCACTGCAAGAGAAGATTTAGGGACGGCAGTAGAAGAATGAAAGTGGCAGATCTCATGGGGACTCAACGAAATGACAGAGCTGGAAAAGCTTATAACCCAACGATGTCACTTGATTCATACAAACTGGCAGAAATTCATTAGTGTTTCTAATATCTCTTTGTTTCCAAAACCACCTTGCTGGGCACCTTACCGGAGTGTTTTTTGATACTGAAACCAGGACACTGAACAGATAATAAGACAGACTTACCTTTTCTACCGCTTTTGCATTAATTAATGGGCCTTGAGTAGTTCTCTCTTCAAATCCATTACCCACATGCAGGTTTGTTTTAATTGCCTCAGCAAATTTTTTCACAAAGGAGTCGTGGATACCGCTTTGCACCAAGAAACGGTTGGAGCAAACACAAGTCTAGACAGAAAGAAAACTCACGTCGACAGTTCGTCAGAAGCTCTGACCCAACCAATAAACCTATGATTGCTGCTACCTCTGAATGTAAATTTCCTTCCCAGGTGGTTCCTGTCCTGGGTCCCACCTGCTGTGTTCCTCCAAACTCGAGCTTGGCCCTAAAGACAAACATGCCAAGAGCATGTGCTTCTCCAGGCGCCTCCACAGCCAACACACCCCTGTGGTTAAACAGGTAAGCGAGCATAAATTATCTGTGAGCAAAAAGCCACTAACCCAGGTTTTTTTCAAATGGCTCATATTGGAACGAGAAAACCAACATGAAACTAACTCCTTGAGACAGTGATACTCAGCGACAGACAGCGGAGCTAGAAGGAAGAGGATTCAAAGGCTAATTTATGTCCTGGAGCTTATTGAACCTTTCAAGAGCCTGGCACAATCCAACATTTTGAAAACGGAGACAAGACAATTCTTTCAGCCTAAATTATTGAAAAGCCCTTTGTTTATTATTTTTTCTAGTGTAGGCCTAACATTTTCAAGTTATATAATATAAACATGATTGGAAATGAGGTTATCCTTGATACATTTTCTTCATGGCTTTTTTCTTAATTGTGTATTTTCTAGTAGAAACAGTTTGTAGATCATTTTGTATCCTGTGCATTTTTATTGGCTTAAAGCAATATACCCCAAAGTTGTAGCTTTGTAACTGAAGGTTATACACCTTTGCATTTTGTGTTTCTAAAAGGAAACATACCTATTTCAAAAACAAGCAAATTTATTTAAGATATGTGAAAGGAGAAAAATTAGTTACCAACAGTCAAAACAGGGTGAAAACGATTTAATAAAGAATATTATACATTTCACCTTTTTCCTCCTAGATAACTCAATATTTATTCCATTTCTGGAATACATTTTAAAATTGCTTATTGATGGTACTCTAAGATCAAGTGCTTACCTTGTATGAGATAACTTGGAAGGTCCCTGCTGGATCTAATGCTCTGGGATTCCCTAGAAGGTGTGAGCGCAGGACACCACTCTCCCTAGGACAAGCTGGACCCTCCTTGGCCCACTGTGGTGTGTGTGACCCTCTAGTGGGGGCCTGTCCTGCCCCCCTCATCTCGGGAAGAGTGAGACCCAGGCAGTAGGGTTTTAGAGTTTTTCAAAGCACCATCTCAACATTTTCCAACATTCTTTTCCTTAAGACTGTGGGCTCCAGACCCTAGCTGTTCAGGCTATTTTGTATCTGGGGAGATACTTAAACCTGTTCAGTAGAGAAAAGCCCAGCAAGGGAAAACTATGACAATAACCACATTCAAAGAGATGAAAGAAGAGAATGATTTCATTAAAAGGCATCTGCTGTTCAGGAAATGTTCCTTGAAGCCAGGGAGGAGGACAACGTATTTCCCTTCTTACCCTCTGAGCCTAGCAGAGTCCCAGACAGAGGGCACTTAACTAAACGCCGATGAAAGAGGACATGGACGGAGAATGGAGGGAGGAACCCAGAAGTGCCCTTTCTCCCAGGAGGTGAGGGAAGGGGTAGGATCTTTGTAAAGCACACAACCCAGAAAAACGCTCCGGGACTTACCTGTCCAGAGTTCCTAAATTTGGAGGCCATGGCCCCGGCGACAGCCTGGTCCACGTTGGCACTGTCGAAGACGATGAATGGAGCATGGCCACCCAGCTCCATGGACACCCTCTTCACGGAGTTTGCTGCATGGTGCAACAGGACCTGGGAGCAGACAGAGGATGCTATGAGTGCCCAGTCAACAAGAGGGACCGGTAAGGCTTTGTTTCCAAAAAGCACCCAATAGAGGAGGAAGCCAGGTACATAGTAGTGTGTATGGGATGCCAGTTTGCATAAGAAAGGAAAATTATATATATTCATACTTGCTTATACTTGATAAACATGGAGAAGATGACAAGAAACTAAAAATAATTATGTATAAAAGAGAGGAAACCAGAAACGGGTAAGGGTGAAACTTCTGAATATAAACATGTTTATACTGCCCTGATTTTTGAACCATGTCAATGTATGACCTACTCAAAAAATTATAAGCAGGCTTAACAATCACAGAGATAGGAAAATAAAATCACTCAGAACCCCAGAATCCACAGTTTAGCACTGATAAAATCTTAAGGTGTTTCTATCCAGAATTTGGCTATACACACAGAGGGATATGTACCTTCTTTAAAAAACAAAACTTTGTATTTTGTATTGAAGTATAGCTAATTAATAATGGGATAGTTTCAGGTGGACAGCAAAAGGACTCAGCCATACACATACATGTATCCACTCTCCCCGAAACTCCTCTCCCATCCAGGCTGCCACATAACGTTGAGCAGAGGTCCCTGTGCTAGACAGCAGGACCTTGCTGGTTATCCATTTTAAATATAGCAGTGTGTCCATGTCCATCCCAAAGTCCCTAACTATCCCTTTCCCTAAGTCTGTGAGTCTATTTCTGTTTTGTAAATAAGTTCATTCATATCATTTCTTTTTAGATTTCTCATATAAGGGATGACATACAACGTTTGTTTCTCTGTCTGACTTCACACAGTATGACAGTCTCTTAAGTCCATCCATGTTACTGCAAATAGCATTATTTCATTCATTTTAGTGGCTGAGTTATATTCCATTGTATATATGTACCACATCTTCTTTATCCATTTATTTGCTGATGGACATTTAGGTTACTTCCATGTTTTGCCTACTGTAAACAGTGCTACTATGAACATAGGGGTGCAATTACAGTTTTGTCTGGATATATGCCCAGGAGTGGCATTGCCAGATATATAGCAACTCTATTTTTTAGTTTTTTAAGGAAACTCCATACTGTTTTCCATAGTGGCTGTACCAATTTACATTCCCACCAACAGTGTAGGAAGATTCCCTTTTCTCCATACCTTCCCCAGCATTTATTGTTTGTGGACTTTTTAATGATGACCATTCTGACTGGTGTGAGTAAACCTATTTCTTTATTGGACTCACGATAGCTATTTTCTTTAGAACTTTTAAGAAATGCTCTTTGCCAGGCCATTGGTTTTCCTGACTCGGCTTGCTCTTGGGTCTCTTGCCTCCACCTGTGTCCTCTGAATCTTCTTCCTACTCGGCACCCATGAGGAGAGCTTGAACCCGACTCTGGCTGCATGGCCCCTGCTGCCTACAATCCTGCTACGTCCTAAGGAGTCCTTCCTGCTCCCATTCCCCCTGCTGACCTTCTCGGGACTTCAGCTTCCAAAGCCTTAGAAAGGGAGCAGGACTGCCCAGCTTACCTTTCTATGAGACACTCACCCTTGGTCACTGGCCAGCCTATGAATCTGTTTTCCTCAGGTCAAATGACCATTCATGGTTGAATTCTCTGTGGGGAGCAGACAAGTACTCTGTCCCCTTCACAGGCCCCAGGAGGGGCGGTCCCCCTGGAAGGGGCAGGGCCGCATCTCCAGAAGAGGCTGACCGAAGGGGGTTCGGTTAGAGGCAAGATTCTATGTGCCAAGATCCAGAGCTGAGCCACCGATTCTCTGCAAAGATCAGCTCAGAAGAGGCTGCTGGTGTGGAGAATGGCTACTTACCAGTGATTCCTATCACTCTTCCCTTTAAACCACTTGAAGCGAAGCACTGTCCCATGTAAATAACTTAAAAGGACAGTTGGACTTGACAGGAACACAGTCAATATTTTCCTAGGGGTCTGTCTGTTGGGAACAGTTTGCTGAGCAAATAAGAGTAAGCAGTGAGTGGCTGGCCTTTGCCCAGCGTCTGGGTACTTCTTTGGCTTCAGTGGCAGAGGTTTACAACCCTTCTTCTCCCAGGCCTCTCTCTTTTTCTCTAATGACTTTGAAACCCTCTGAGAATAAGTTTGCTCTGCAAGATCCCTGGATCAGGGTGGTACCACTTTATGGATCTAAAAAGTTACACTTCTGAAATGAATGAATGGCAGGCTTCCCAAGTGTGAGTTTCTGGCATGACAAACATGGTTATGGCTGGGAGTTACTAAAACTGGTTTATTTTCTCCTTCTCATGGTGTCCAAAAAATGACCAGTTTCACCAAAACTTTCAGATTAGATTTTTACTATTTTAATCTGATATGTTTATGTACTTCTCTAATATGAGCATATGCATGTATGTATATAAACACTAGCAGGAAAAATGTGTACTATTTGGAGAGAAACCCCATAACTAAGAACTTTTGTTCTACTCTGCCTTTTTTCTGTTTTAAACATTTAAACGCATAAATAAAAATGCACTCATAGGCACACAAATGAGGTTTTGGGGAAAGAATTTTTCAACATATAAGGGAGAAGAAAGCTAGATAAAAAATGATCTTTCTGTTTCTGTAACTACCTTTATACTAAACACAATTTTTGTTCTAAGGCATCCATTTCTTTAACTCTACATTATGAAAGAAACACACATTCGAGAGTTATGGGAATATGATGAACAACTTTCATCTACTTCACATGCAACAAATAATGGGAACCTGGTCTACCCTTAAACCTTCAGTTTTGTCAAACAGGAACCTAGATCATGTCACAATGAGGAACACCATCCAAATATTTCTGAAAGATGATCAGACGTTATGATATGGGACAGAGCTTCTAACACTCTGCCGGAAACCTTCCTCCAAATGGTGAACAAGATGAAGTAGTATTTTTGATACTGTATAAAGAGAAGTTATTAGAATGACACTTGTTTCCTTTGAGACTTAAGTCACATACCTTTCCAGTGGCTGTCGAACCAGTAAAGGAAATTTTAGACACGAGAGGATCTGTACAAAGTGCTTCCCCTACTTCCTTGGCCTTCTTTTGAGAGCAAGGAATCACGTTGTACACACCTGGGGGAATTCCAGCCTGGTTTGCAAGCTATAAAGAGAAACAGCAAACATGTGGCAGCAAATGATCAAACTGGAAAAACAGAAAAGAGAAATAAATGTTTTAACCCAGAAAGTAATGGCAAAAAAAAACACACACACAAAAAAATAGGCTAACTTTGGGGACAGAATATATTTAGAACTGAAATAAGATTCTTACTAGTGCTAATGTGGTATTAAGGCTTCCCTGGTGGTTCAGATGGTAAAGAGTCTGCCTGCAGTGCAGGAGACCCGGGTTTGATCCCTGGGTCAGGTAGATCTCCTAGAGAAGGAAATGGCAATGCACTCCAGTTTTCTTGCTGAGAAAATCACATGGACAGAGGAGCCTGGCCGGCAGCACCCCATGGGGTTGCAGAGAGTCAGACACAACTGAGCGACAACGTGGTATTAATGTATTGCAAGTTTCTGCATGAATTTTAAGCAGTATTTTATCATGTGCACCTGTGTACACACATGTATGTATATTTCCCAGCCCTGCCACTAATAAGGCCTAGAAACAATGAGCCGCCAGTAGCAATGACCATCCCTAGTGCCCTAAATGTACCAGGGATGTACCTAAATGCCTTAAAGTATCATTTCCTACCAGAGGAAATAAAGGCTTTCTGCAGAAATGGTTAATCCCAGGTCTGGGACAAGAAATATATATGATAAGTCTAAAATATCTTCTCATACTAGATAGCAAAGAAGGTCTCAAAAACTATTAGAGTTATGTTAAAAGATAAAAGAGCCAACTCTAAGAGGCTGCCATTGGCCAAAAGTGGGAGCAATGTGAGCTTCATCAAGGATAATAACCACAAGAAAGTGAAACTCATCAAATACCAACACATTAAAATCTATTAGCATGTAATGCTCCTTAAAAAACAAACTAATTGGGAACCTTTGGCAGATGATAGGAATAGATTCATTTATTTGAAAAACTGGTAAATAAGAAGAATCAAATATACTCCCTTTCTCTGTAAATTCACCGCCGGGTAACCACAGAGATGATGGGAAGCTTTGATTTATAGAAGTGGTCTGGTGAAGAAATGAAAGAAAAATGAAAGAATCAAAATATTACCATTTGGGCAACTCCTAATGAATCAACAGACTGAGCAGCATCGTACAGCAAGGGCCGCAGACGTGAAAACAGAGACCCCCAGACCTTATTCTCCTGACAAAAGGACACAAGATGGGATCGAACCCGAGTCTGATGAAGTGTCTGGATACAGCTGCCAGTTTGGAAAACGCACGAGACAGAGGAACATGGTCCCTGATGTGCTGTCTGCAAAGCCCAGTTGATGGGGAGCTCTGCTCATCAGATGTCCAGCTTCCTCAAAAGACAGATTGTAAGGGAAAGAAAAGGGTGGAGGGGAATCTGCCCAATAGAAGGAACTCATCAGACGTTCTAAAGTTTAACAAGTGAAGGCCACTGCAGGAAGTCTGGATCCTACTCTGCATGACATGAGAAGCCATTAGAGGGTTTTAAACAGAAGAACAAGATCTGACTGAATGCAGATTGAGCTGGAGAAGGGAGTGGTTAATAAGAGGTGCCCTCAATGTGAGAAATGCTCAGCTTTTAGTCACATTGCTGCTGCTAAGTTGCTTCAGTCGTGTCCAACTCTTTGCAACCCCATGGACAGCAGCCCACCAGGCTCCCCTGTCCACGGGATTCTCCAGGCAATGCCATTTCCTTCTCCATTTAGTCACATTACTGTGACTTAAAAACGATGGCTAGATATCATTGTTAGGGTAGCCTAAACAACAGCCTACAGATGTCAGAAAATTCCTATTATTTTTTCTAAAAAGAGGAACATCTGACTTAAAATAAGGACTAGTGAATTAAAGCACAGCACCATCAAACAGGAGATGCAAAGAAGGAGGCTTCAACAGTACTTCCTCCTGTCCCAGGTAACATCCTTTTTTGGGCCCAGTGCATAGAGGCTCACCTCCGCCAAGGCCAGGGCAGAGAAGGGCGTGTCCTCGGCAGGTTTCACCACGACCGTGCAGCCGGCTGCCAGGGCGGCCCCCACCTTCCGCGTGATCATGGCGCTGGGGAAATTCCACTGCATCAGAAGAGAGAGGAGGGGAGTGAGAGGAAGGACTGCGCCCTGGTCCAAAGGCGGGTGGGGCAAGACACCAGCCAGTAAGTTCTGATCACCTGCCTGGCAGAGGCGTTCTTACAGGGGAGCTCAGGACACCTGGCACCTGCTGGCTCCAGGGAGCGTGGAGACAGAGGCTCAGGGAGACAGAAACACCTTCAGAGTTTAAAGCAGTATAAAATTATCCACACTGGGTGAGCCAACTTTCCCTGTAAAGGGCTGGGTAGTAAATATTTTAGGTTTTGTGGGATGTCCAGTTTCTCTCACAACTAGACAGCATGTATACAGGTGGGAGTGGTTCTGTCCCAGTAAAACTTTATTTACAAACATAGGCCTGAGGGCTGTAGTTTGGTGACCCTTTGGGGAAAAATATTGGCAAAGGTGATTTTGAAAATGGTATATGATATATTACTTCCCTCTCTAGATATTCATAGATAGCTCTCTGTGGACATTTATAGTAATGTTTTATTTCAACAAAACCTTGTATAGTGCTTAGTCTGACCTGGGCACTGTTGTACGCTCTTTTATACTATTATAATTAAATCCTCATCACAACCCAATGAGGTTGGTATTTTTCTCATTTGCAGGTTTGGAGACGGTGAGACAGAGCAGTTAAGAAACTTGCTCAAGGTCACACAGCTAGTGGAGACTGAGTTCTGGGTCAAGCCTAGTCAGTCTAGACAGCGAGGGGAATGTTTCTCTGTGACTGTGGTGAGCAGGGAAGGACAAGCAGTCTTGAGACCAACGGGTAGACACCGTAGAGAACTTAATACAGCATCTAGCAGAAGATGGACCTAAGAGAAGCAACTCATGTAGAGAAAGCTGGGTGCCTCACAAGGATACTGCAGTCCTATCTAGGCAGATGCAGTCTCTTATTTCTCAGCCTTTTTACTTTCAGAATGTGGCCCAGTGCCTGCTGGAAGGTACATAAATACTTTGAAAGTGTCACATCTTAAGTCTTTTAAAAATGATAAACACCAGAAGATCTTTTTAGATGTACTGGACAACGCCAAGAAGCCTTTAATGCCAAGTCAGAGAAGCCCCCAGGTCCTCCCGCTCCTGCAGGCATTAGAAAACCCTGGCCAGCACCACACCTCTCATGATCAGAGGACCAGGAAACACACCTCCGCCTCCAGCAGTGGTATCAGGAAGCCAAGAACAGGTGCCAGAGATGACGGGATGAGCACGCCTGCACCAGCCCCATTCAATTCAGCCTCCTCCCCCAGGATCTCGCTGATCCTGCCACATACCGGGGTGATGACGGCAGCCACGCCGAGGGGTTGCTTGAGGACAAGAGCCCGCCTTTCTTTCGCTGGGGTGGAGATGATGTCTCCGTAAACACGGCGGGCTTCCTCTGAAAACCACTCCAGGAAGTTGGCAGAATAGAGAATTTCTCCCTGTGCCTCCTTCAGTGGCTTTCCCTGAATTAAATCAGAAGAGGACACATTCATTACCTTCTAATAACAAAAGCAGGATTCTGTGTTTCTCAATTCTTCAAAGCTGCAAGCAGAGTACAAAAGTCTCCCATTACAAAACCGCCTGGGTGGTGCAGAAATTTCTAGCCTCAGTGTGAGTCTTTGAAAGCGGAATCACAAATGGTGATGGAAGGAAGCCCGCCAGGTCATCCTGAGCCACAGTCGTCATTTGCCTCCTTAATAGGTTTACAATCAGGAGGAGGTGCCTAGAATGGCCTCTTCAAATTTTTTTCCTTCTGCTATTTTCTAAATGTTGTGAACAGTGGAAAGTAATTTATTAGAGCGACCAAAAAGCTGGTACCTTTGCAAATGTACAAAAACAACATAAAAAATCAAAGCAGTCATGTGGGGGAAAGAAACCTAGAATGGTGGAAAAGCAGTAGTCACATAGTTCCACTCAAAATCGATTTCTTGCATATTATTAAAGAGTAAGTTACAACATAGAAATTTTGATTTAGCAAATATGTGTGCTTGATTTAATCAGAAAATCTGTGCCCAAAATAATAACTGATGTCTGATCATGAGATAAAGAATTCACATTTTCTTTAGCTACCTAACAGCACTGAAGTTAGAGGCTCCTCCAAGCTTTCTTCTAAGAACTCTTAGACAGTTTCTTCAAGTACTAAGTTAGGTCCTGCACTTACACTTTCAGCTGTAATTATCTTGGCAAGGTCATCCTTATTTTGTATCATTAAGTCATACCACTTGCGAAGTAAAGAACTCCTCTCCTGAAAAAGAAATACAAAATAGTAAAATGCCAAGGGTAAGAGAGACTATTAAATAGTCTTCAGTTTCCTAAAATATTTGCTGTGCAGTTTCATTCTTGGGGAAACATATATTGACCTGTTTTTTAAAAGTGAGGTATAACTGACATGCAACATTGTATTAGTTCCAGGGATACAGACCCTTCTTTGGTGAGTAATATCAAAGATTCCATTTTGGGTGTGCTGAGTCATAAATTGTAAAAGGGAAAAAAAGTATTGTGGAACAACTGTTACTATTTATAGTAAACTGAATAATGAATTTCACCACACAAAGATATAGTTCCTTACTTTTTGCAGTAAAATACACAGGACACAGCCTTTACCATCTCAATCACTTTTCAGTACACACTTCAGAGGCATTAAGTACAACACTTTCACATGGTCTTGCAGCCATCACCACCCTACATCACCACCTTTTCATGTCGCAAAACTGAGAGTCTGGACCTGTCTCTCCATTCCTCCCAGCCTGAACAACCACCATTCTATTAATACCTTCTGTCTCTATGAATCTAACTACCCTAGGAACCTGATATAGGCAGAATCATACAGCCTCTGTCCTTTTGTGACTGGCTTATTTCACAGTGTCCTCAAGTATAGTTCCTTATCTTTTGACTTTTTTTCACTAAGGTTTTTAGCCCCTTCCCGCAGGCCTCACCACCTCTCCTGCAACACAGCACAAGGGTGCAGACGACACCTGCGTCTGCAGGAGGGCGCCCGGCGGCACCAGCGGTGCGCATGCACCTGGAACCGGGTCACGATCCACTCCCTTCTGATCCTCTCTCTCCATCGCAGTTCCTGCTCTGCTTCTCGGAGCCCCACTCGTAGCCGGGGCGCGCTCCTCAGGAGGCCCCCTCGCTCGTCACTCCCCGCCCCGCAGGTGGTTCTTGGGAGAGAGGGCATCGTCCACACGGGGTCTGGCCTTCCCCTTCCTCGTCTGTTTCCTGAGCTCAGCCATGTGTTCTGGCCACAGGGGCCCACGGTCCCGTGGCCTTTCTCTCTCCTCCTCTTGTCCTCCAGGATCTGCTTGTTGGGTGCCTCGTGGTCAAAACCACGCAGGCTCGAGTGTGCCGCAGGGCCCAGGGTATCACTTGGCGAAGCAGTGTCCAGGGCCTCGGGGTTACTGAAATCACTTTGCACAAAGTCTTCTTTGTCACCCCGGGGTCCAAAATCAGCCACTGCCAGTAGCCGATCAGTCTCCATCATAGCTGCGCGATTTTTGTCCTGAACACACACTCTGGGCGGCACGTTTCTGGGGTCTGCTGGGACATCAGAAGACGCCCCACGTGCGCAACGCTCCTCTGCAGGACGGCCTCCCGTGTGCGCGGGGGGCCGCAGAGAGCGTCGCCCTCCAGAAGACGCGGCAGGCAGAGAAGCCTGAAGCCAGGGAGGCCTGGCAGAGCTCCGCGTTCAGGTCGCACAGCTCCCGGCTCACTTCGGGGGTGCGCAGCAAGCCTGCGGGCGCTTTGGAGAGGCCGTTCCGCGCCCCCAGGCGCCGCAGTCTTCCTTCGGGGGCTAGAGGTGCTCATCATCAAGAACTCCACTGTGGGTCAGCTGCGAGCCCAAGGAAGGACCTCCACACCAAACCCCCCTCGGTAGGTGACACAATGCAAGTGCGACGAAAACAGTTGCCAGAAAGGCAAGTTCGGGTTTTGTTTTTTGAGAACTTCGTGGAATTTTTGCAGAACATTTTCAATCCAAGGTTGGTTGAATCCGAGGATTTGGAACCTCGGACCCACGGTGGAATGTAAACACCTCTTTGCTTTAAAAGTTCACTTTGCTTTTAGCAGACTTAAAACCATCACAACTGTATAAAAGTACAGACAAAAGGTGGAAAAACCGCAAGTGGTAACGTGACGGGTGGGCTTTCACAAGCGGAGACTGCGCTTACAGACTTGGCTGCAAGCTTGGGAGTCAGGTTAACGCCCAGGTGGAGCCCCCACCCTTTGCAGGACCCCCATTCGGGAACATTACTTGGTTTTCGAAGCAAATTTCTTGAGCAGGTTCTTGCCGCAGAACACAGGCGAGCTGTGCAGACCTCGGGCACCGCTCAGGAGTCTCGAGTGGAGCCCCCCGCAGACCCCTGAGAGCTGCCCGTATCTTTGCTCGGTGACCGCCGACAAATGGCCAGGTCTTTATTTTAATGACTCCCTGGCAATTTGTCCCACAGACTGGGGTGGAGGGTATGGGGTCTGTGATGTTTAGGAAAGGGTTTTGCACACTTCAGAAGAGAGGCCAGGCACAACCCTGTGGATGTATTTAATGCCATGGAACTGTACACTTGCAAAGAGCGAAAATGATAAATTTTACATTATGTGCATTTTACCACAATTTAAAAAAATTTTCAAAGATAAAAGGATGAACGAATAAACTGGATTAAGTATGCTGTGGAAGAAATGATTTCTTAAATAATTTTTAAAAAAGAAATTCATTTATATACTTAAAGAGAGAGCCCAGAGAACCCAGGTCAAGCAGACCACACAGGTGCCCTGAAGGAAGGCATCCCCTGAGCTTTGGCCTCCTGCATCTAACAGGTGTACATGAAGCAGAGAGACTCTGGTTGATTCCTACCTGCCCGAGTGGTTGCCCATAGCAACCAGCAAGCCTGGTTTGTCATTCTGTCATTCTAAGCCATTTAGTAGGGGCAAGATTTAAATTATTTTCTCATACCACTCATGAGCCTGAGACTGTGGAAACACCACCAACTGTCTTTCTCTGGGTTCTTTCCCCTCCCTATTTTGGGTAAGCCAACACGCTTTGTTATCTTAGCTCTCAGGATGTTGTTGAGTCTTCTGAACCTCAAACCCCCAGAGAAGAGGCATCGACAGCTCTTAAAACAATCTTACTACAGTCCTTTCACCCTCTCTGTAGAGTGGTGGTGGTGGAGTTGCTAAGTCTTGTCTGACCCTTGTGACCCCATGGACTGGAGCCCACCAGGCTCCTCTGTCTATAGGATTCTCCAGGCCGCAATACTGGAGCGGGTTGCCATGCCCTCCTCCAGGGGATCTTCCCAATCCAGGGGTCGAACCCAGGTCTCCCCCATTGCAGGTAGATTCTTTACCGTCTGAGCCCCCAGGGAAGCCCGCCACCGAAAGGCCGAGAAGCAACAACAACAGCACTCAGCTGTGGAGGGTAAAGGGTGGCCCTCGGGGCATTCCCCGCCTAACCCCTGGAGCCTGTGGCTACCTGTGGCCAGAGGGATTCTGCCCACGTGATTAAGGTCAGGTGAGAGCGGGCCTGAGTTATCCAGGTGGGCCCCATATAATCACTAGGAGCACTATGACAGGGAGGCTCGGGGCAGGTGGAGCGATTCCAGAAGCGGAGGCCGGCGTGGTGCAGAGCCACCGACCACTGACTCACGGAGGCCTCTGGGGGTGGTGTAGTTACTAAGTCGTGTCCAGGTTCTCTAGGGAATCTTCCTGATCTAGGGATCAAATCTGGGTCTCCTGCACTGCAGGCAGATTCTTTACCAACTGAGCTACAGGGGAAGCCCCAGGGAAGCCTCTAGAAGGTGGAAAAGCCCAGGAAACCCCCAGAGCTTCCCCAGGGAAGGCAGCCCAGCAAACCCTCTTGGACTTCGGACCTCCAGGATGGTAAGAATAATTTTGCGTTGTTACGACGTGTTAAATCCCTCAGTCTGGGGATGATTCGTCCCAGCGGCGAGGAAGGACGTGAACGGGCCTAGAGAGAGAAGTAGGGCGACAAGAAAGCCGCCTGACAAGCTGCGTTTGCGCCCCGCCATCCAGACGGCAAAGGTGGGAAGTTGAGCCCACTGCTTCCTTAGTAAGTCACTCCAAGGTCCTCTCGAGGAGGGTTCCCCGAAAGGCCCCAGGGAAGACCGTCTGACTGCACCTGGAATTGCTCCTGGGCCCCTGAAACACCCCAGTGGGGTAGGTTGAGGCTGCAGGCCCCGGTGGGGTTGGGGGGAGCTCCAAAAGGACTCCAGAGGGCCCAGGGCTCACCTCGATGCACACGCTTCCTGCCAGCTCGTGTCTCCCACAGCTGTTAGCACTCTTGTGCGTTATCTAGTTCAGGCGCCCCTCTCAACATCCCCCTTACCCTCATGCCGCGTCTAACAGACATCTCGGACTCAGTGGGGCCAAACCTGAGCTCCGGTTTCTTGCCCCTGCCCCTCTCACCCCTTCCCCACCCCAGTGTGTGGTTTTTCCTTCTCCCTCCAGTGGCTCTGGCCAAAAGCCCTGGAGTCATCCTTCAGTCGTGTCTTTCACGTTCCTCCCCCTCTCCCTCCCTCAGTCTTGTCTTTCATCTCTCTCTCTCTCCCCTGTAACAATCTGTTGGGGAAACCAGCTGTCTTCCACCTTCAAAACATATCCTTTATCAGAACACGCCTCACTGCCTCGACCACTAACTCTAGTGCCAGCCACCAGCATCTCCCATGTAAAGCACCACCTCCTAGTGGTCCCTGGACTTCACCGTTGCCCCCGCTACAGTCTATTGTCAGCACTGTGGCCAGAGCATCCTTTCCAAGGCAAGTTAGAGATCTCTGAAAACCCTGAAATGAAGCCCTGCCTCACTTGGAGTAAGACCGCACTTAAGTCCTTAGAATGGCTACCCACCCCACTCCATCCAGCCCTCCTAATTCTTCCCCCTGTCAGCCTCCTCAGCACACGGGCCTCCTTGCTGACCTACACGTGCGTCAGGCATGCTTCTGACTCAGTTTTTGCTCCAGCTGAATTCCCTCGCCCCCGCGGGTCTCTGCATCTCCTGTCCTCAATGAGACCTACCCTGATGTTGCAGCCTGAATTCGGTTCCCCTCAAATTCACATAACTCCCAGTACTGCAGAATATGACTGCATTTGGAGACAGGCTCTGGAAAGAGGCTATTAAGATCAAATGAGGCCATAAGAGTGGATCCTAACTCAATATAACTAGTGTCTTCTTGAGAAGGGATTCGGACACTGACAAGTTCAGAGGGAGGAGCCTGTGAAGATGGGGAAGATGGTCGCCCACAAGCCAAGGTGAGAGGGGCCTCCGGAGAAACCAGCCCTGCCCACACGCCTTGAGAGCAGGCTTGTAGCTTCCAGAACTCTGAGACAAGAAATTCCTACTTAAGCCACCGAGTCTGTGATACTATTACGGTGGCCCTAGCAAATTAATACAGTTGCCCACACTACTTACTTTCCATTTTGCCCCTTTTCTCTGGCCTCTGATCCTGTTAGCCTTCTCTGCTTTTTCTCCCTCATAGCATCCATTACTTTTGACATACTTATTTGTTGTTCAGTCACTAAGTTGTGTCTGATGCTTTGTGACTCCATGGACTGCAGCATGCCAGACTTCCCTGTCCTTCACCATCTCCCATAGTTTGTTCAAATTCATGTCCATTGAGTCGGTGATGCTATCCAGCCATTTCATGCTTTGTCACCCGCTTCTCCTGTCCTCAGTCTTTTCCAGCATCAGGGTCTTTTCCAACGAGTCGGCTCTTGGCATCAGGTGGCCAAAGTATTGGAGCTTCAGCGTCAGTTCTTCCAATGAATATTCAGGGTTGATTTCCTTTAGGATTAACTGGTTTGATCTCCTTGCTGTCCAAGGGGCTCTCAAGAGTCTTCTCCAACTCCATGGTTCAAAAGTATGAATTCTTCAGCACGCAGCTTTCTTTATAGTCCAACTCTCACATCCATACATGACTACTGGAAAAACCAAAGCTTTGACTATAGGAACCTTTGTTGGCAAAGTAACATCTCTGCTTTTTTTTTTTTCATTTATTTTTATTAGTTGGAGGCTAATTACAACATTGCAGTGGGTTTTGTCATACATTGACATGAATCAGCCATGGAGTTACATGTATTCCCCATCCCGACCCCCCCTCCCACCTCCCTCTCTACCCGATCCCTCTGGGTCTTCCCACATCTCTGCTTTTTAATACTGTCTAGGTTTGTCATAGCTTTTCTTCCAAGGAGCAAGCACCTTGTGTGCACCAGGACCCAGGGGAAAGGAGCAGTGACTTGTTTGTTTAGCTATGTTATTTGTCACAGGTTAAATCTCCTCCCACCCCTCACCTCCAAGTGAACTCCATGAGGGCAGGAATGCTTCTTTTGTGGAACTGCTGTACCCCCAGAACCTCCCACAGTGGGTGGCGTAACAGGTGCTCAGAAAATGTCTAATGGATGAATCAATGTTAGACTCCCTTGGTACTTGGATTTCATTGCTGGACTGTCTTCCTTCAGAGGAAGGATGCTGAAGGACAGAGTAGAAAATGACGTCTGGGCTGACTCCGTCATAAACTAAATGAAGGAGGAAGGAAATCTCCCTGCCTCAACATCACTGCAATCTCTCCCGCTCTGACATCCCCCACCCCACACCCCCAATTCTCTACTACTCTCTATGTCAGTTAATGGATGTATTCAGGCCCCAAACCTGGAGGGGGGTCCTGGGTTTGTCTCCTCCCTTGCACAAAGCCCCCGATTCCCCCCCCCCCAATTCTCTCCACTCCCCAGTTCATGACAGAGACCTAGCATTCACTACCAGCCTGCGTGTAAACCACCCTATTAGACTCCTGCGTGGTCTTCCTGCAGCCAGGCAGGTACTTCAGATATTCTGAAATCACACGTGCCTTTACCGAAACCAACCACCCTTCCCCCGCGGTCTGCTGGCTTATAATTGCAGGTTCGTGTTCTGCTCCCCTACCAGACCCTTTATGAGGCTCGAGGGCGGGGCCATGCTCCCTAACGCCCCGCACAGGGCTTGGCACACAGCCGGCGCTCCAAACTTCTTTGTTGTTACTAAGTCTTTCCACGTGGTGTTTCCTGGAGCACTGGAGAGGGTAGAGGTGACACAGCTGGTTTCACTAGGGTACAAAGCCCCGATCGCACCTGGATCCGGCGCGCACTCACCTTGGCCGAGACCCCCCTCCAGCTGCAGAAAGCCTCGTAGGCAGCGCGCACGGCGGCGCGGGCCTCCGGCACCCCGCAGTCGGCCACCAAGCCCAGCTCGGCGCCGCTGGCCGGGTCGTGCACCGGGAAGGTGGCGGCTGCCGAGACCCAGAGGCCGCCCACGAAGCCGTCGGTGCGCAGCAGGGCCGAGGAGAGGCCCGCCGGGCCTCGGGCGTAGCAGCGGATCGGGGCCACCGGGCAGTCGGCACGGGGGCGGCAGACCCGGCTGGGAGGTGCCCGCCGGAGGTGCGGAGCCGGGCAGCTCCGCAGCCGCAGGCAGGTCGCCATGGCCCTGGCGGCTGCAGGAAACAGGCGAGCGAGCGTGCGCACCCGGAACCCAGGCTGCGGCGGGGGCGCGCCGGGCGGCGGGGACGCGGGCTGCAGGCGGCGGAGGCGCAGAGCAGCGCCCTCTTCCCGCGCCCTTTGCGCGGCACAGCCACGAACTCTAGACCTTGACTGACCGAGAGCGCCGGCAGGCTTGGCTTCCTGCGCCACCTGGGAAGGATCGCGGGTGGAAATGGGAAAGCTCGCTGGTAGAGGCGCCTGCGGACCCGCGTCAGCTTTGTAACTATTCCTTAGCCCCTCCGCCGCTCCCTCTCACCACCAATCCCTCAACCAACTTTCCCCGCCGCTGGAATTAGTGCTTGGTCCATGGATGTGCCGATGTCAGCCCCAGTTTCTTAGGACATGATCCGGCTGATTCACCGTCGTAGCTCCTGTGCATTTAGAATTTGGGGCAAGTGTTCTCGGAGAGGGTGCAGTGTGGCCCAGCGTTGTGCTGCCTGGATGCTTGTCTATTTCTGCGTTAACCGGGAGCAGGGATGCCCTTGATATAAGCGCCTTTGGAGAGGATCATCCCTTTAACCTGGGTCCGATGCTTTGCGGGATGGAATGATAACCTGCCCCATAGGTTTGTTGTGAGAGAAGGTATAAGGCTCGGTACAGTTGCTAACTTAAATTCAGCTCAGTGTTAAAATCCATGCTAGCTGACCTGGGTCAAACAACTAGTGAGATTAAAGTGCCCACTAAAAAAAAAAATGCACAATTTGAGAGTTTCTAGTTAAGTTTAATTTGGGGCAAAATGAGGACTGCAGCCTGGGAGGCAGCACCTCAGATAGCTCTGAGAGACTGCTCCAAGGAGGCAGTGGGGGGAAGTCAGTATATAAGATTTTGGTGAAGGGGGGAGTTCAATACAATTAAACACTCATTTTACAAAAGGTTTTCTGCTAGTCCAGCTTCCCTTGTGGCTCAGCTGGTAAAGAATCCACCTGCAGTGCATGAGTGAAGTTGCTCAGTTGTGTCTGACTTTGTGACCCTATGGTCTGTAGCCTGCCAGGCTCCTCCGTCCATGGGATTTTCCAGGCAAGAGTACTGGAGTGGGTTGGTATTGCCTTCTCCAGGGGATCTTCCCAACCCAGGGATGGAACCCACGTCTCCTGCATTGCAGGCAAACACTTTGCCGCCTGAGCCGTCAGGGAAGCTGGGTTCAACCCCTGGGTTGGGAAGATCCCCTGGAGAAGGGAATGGCTACCCAATCCACTATTCTGGCCTGGAGAATCCATGGACTACAGTCCAGTGGGTCACAAAGAGTTGGATACAACTGAGCTACTTTGACTTTCACTTTTCTGCTTGTCAGGAGGCTCTGATGTCACCATGAAGAGATTTAGTACTATTAGTGCCTTTCTAGATATGAGGAGATGCAAGTATTGGAATCATGAAATCAGTGCCTGAAAATATCCAACTATCTAAAGACCTGTCCCACCAGATTCCCTGGAGCACAGAGTGCCTCAGTCCACCCTGAATTCCCCCAGGGAGTGCTGAAGCTCAACAGCTGTAGCGCCAGGGGGTTCAGTCTCCTCAGAGGCAGATGGCAAATGCCCTTGTGGTTCGGTCGCTGACAGTGCTCTTGAAGTGAAGTGAAGTCGCTCAGTCACGTCCGACTCTTTGCGACCCCGTGAATTGTATTCTACCAGGCTCCTCTGTCCGTGGGATTTTCCAGGCAAGAGTACCGGTTGCCATTCCTTCTCCAGGAAATCTTCCCAACCCAGGGATTGAACCCGGGTCTCCCGCATTGTAGGCAGACGTTTTACTGTCTGAGCCTCCAGGGAAGTCCAAATGCTCTTAGCAAGTGCCAATTTATAGTTGACAAAAGTTAGGCCACCAGTGAGTCAACAGGACCCTTTTGTCAAAATCAGGCAACCAAGGTATGATCAGAGTTAGACTTTGCCTAAAACTCCAGAAGTAGCAAGGAAGCCTCAACTTCAATGAGGATATAAATAGCAGGCCTATACTCGGAGTCTCTGGGTTCAAATGAAGCCTAACTCTCGGAGTTGATTTAGAATCACTAGTCCCAAAAAACTCCCTGTATTTCTACTGAGAGGAGAGGTTCTTGCTGGCTTTGATAGAGCCTGTGGTGTTTCACAGAAAGTTTTCTCTTCCGCCTCAGGTTCAGAGGATTTGTTAACAAATTAAGCCACTTGTTATATACAAACAAATAATACCAATATTTTTAGAGAATTAGCCAGCTTACTTTCAATATACTAACATTAAAAAAGAAATAGAAACAGCAGAGGATACATCACCAAATTGGGTTTTGACCAGCATCCAGACTTCACCCTGGGAAGTCCCATGATACAGCTCATCTGGAGTCCCAATTGGGAAAATGTCCCAGGAAGCGAGTCTGCTCTGTGGGTGAAAATTACAGTTCAGTAGTTGTTCAGTTGCTCAGTCATATCTGACTCTCTGCAACCGCATGGACTGCAAACTGCCAGTCTTCCCTGTTCTTCACAATCTCCTAGAGCTTGCTCAAACTCATGTCCATTGAGTCAGTGATGATATCCAAGCATCTCATCATCTGTGGTCCCCTTCTCCTCCTGCCTTCAATCTTTCCCAGCATCAGGGTCTTTTCCAATGAGTTGACTGTTTGTATCAGGTGGCCAAGGTATTGGAGCTTTAGCATCAATCTTTCCAGTGAATATTCAAGGCTGATTTTCTTTAGGATTGACTGGTTTGATCTCCTTGCTGTCCATGGGACTCTCAAGAATCTCACAGTTTCAAGGCATCAATTCTTCAGTGCTCAGCCTTCTGTTTGGTCCAGCTCTCACATCCATACATGACTACTGGAAAACCTGTATCTTTGACTATTCAGACCTTTGTTGGAAATCTCTCTTCTTTTTAATACGCTGTCTAGGTTTGTCATAACTTTTCTTCCAAGGAGCAAGTGTCTTAATTTCATTAAATTTCTTTTAAATTTCACAGTTCAGGGCTCCTGTTTATAATCCCAGGACATAAACTGATATCATCATCAATCTGTGAGCAAATTGCAGCTCTGATTTCATGTTAAGGCTGTTTGTTTTGTCCGGTAAAACTTGGAATTTTGTTAAGCCTGGGGCTTGTTTGGCCTGATCCCCTCCAGGGGTTCAGCAGTCTCAAGGTAGGTCCCCTATCTGATGTATGGGGCTTATCTATCAAGTCTTGCACTCAGAGTCAATGTAATGTCCGGGCTGGTTAGAAGCAAGGTCAGAAGCCAGCCTTGCTTTGTCTCTGAAACCTAAACAAGACAATTTAGTTTCCCTAACAGTGTGGGCTCTTCAACTTTTTCTAGGTGTTTTTTTTCCTTTTTTTGGCGAAAGGCTGAGGTTGTACTTTATGTTTTGACTTTGGTTTTTGCTGAGTCAGTGTCATTCAGTCTTGAGTCACAATTGTAGCAGAAACAGGAATAGCATTGGGTTCCCTGATGGCTCAGATGGTAAAATATCCACCTATCATGAGGGAGACCTTGGTTCAATCCCTGGGTTGGGGAGATCCCCTGGAGAAGGGAATGGCTACCCACTCCAGTATTCTGGCCTGGAAAATTTCATGGACAGAGGAGCCTGGCCGGCTACAGCCCATGGGGTTGCAAAGAGTTGGGCACAACTGAGCTACTTGCACTTTCAGAGTTTAATCTTTCATGTATTCTATTGAAGGAATTGTGGGTGAGAGGCAGTGCTAAGTTTGAGTAGGCTCCGAGAGTTGGTGATGGACAGGGAAGCCTGGTGTGCTGCAGTCCATGGAGTTGCAAAGAGTAGGACACGGCTCAGCAACTGAACTGGGTATCGGTTCTGGACTGGGGAACTGGTGTGTTTCCATCTCCTGCCTGCAGAGGGAGCTCTACGGATGGCTGATTTCTGAGGTTTGGGGAAATCTGTTTTGTTGAGCAAGAAAGGCCCAGAATAATGAAGTCGGCTGTGTTGCTTCTCTTGATCGGAAATTACTCTATGTTTCCAAGCTTCTATTTCAAACGGTGCCCACTCTGCCTAGGGCCCATAGTATTTTTATGGGAACACAAAAATGTTTCCCTTCTTATAAAGTCAGAATTAAAAAATAAGTTTTTACTTTTAAGTATTAATATATTAACCTTGATAGCAATGCAGATGTAAAACATGATTTTTTTTTTAAGAAAAATGTTTATTTTTATGAAAGGAGGCTGCCACCAAGACAAAAGTGCCTAGGGTCTAGGAAATTCACTTTGTCCCTTGCCTGACTCCCCCACTATTCTGTGCTCTTTGCAAACTCCCACTCAGAGCAGAAATGATTCCCTCCTGACTCCCATCTTGCTTCTAGGCTGCCCTGACGCCTCCCAGAGCTGGCCAGGTGTGTTCACCAGGGCTTGGAAGGGTAAGACCACCTGGTCACAGGGACCTTTCTCCTTTCCCCTTGGCTTTCCCCGGTCCTGAGCACCTCCACCTCCTAGCTTTACCTTTCTCCATCCTCTCTCCCATTCACTCTAAGGACGCTGTGATGACAGCAGCCTATTAGAATGTGAGCTGAAAGTGTCTGCTTTATCTCAAACGTTTCTGGATCTTAAAATTGTATTTCATTTATCTACACAAGGAGATCCACCTTCATTTTAAAAGCCCTACCCAGTGCTGGCTTTATACACAAATCTAAATTGTTATTAAAGATGTATTACTGTGTATCTTGAGTGTAAAATTATTTTTCTTATTTTTGAATTCAATAAGGAATATGGTTACACAGTAGAACTCTTTTGGGAGAGAGAGGGGCTTGTGGGATCTTAGTTCCTGACCAGGGATCTAGCTGGGCCCCAGCAGTGAAAGCACTGGGTCCCAACCACTGGATCACCAGGGAATTCCCTCAATAGAAGTCTTAGGTACATCTTTTAGAAAGGGAAAATTCAAATTCTTTTGAATTTAAACGATGATGTTGTTGTTTAGTTGCTAAGTCATGTCTAACTCTTTGCAACCCCATGGACTGTAGCCCACCAGGTTTCTCTGCCCATGGGATTTCCCAGGCAAAAAATACTGGAGTGGGTTGCCATGTCCTTTTCTAGGAGGTCTTCTGACTGAGGGATAGAACCAGCATCTCCTGCATTGGCAGGTGGATTCTTTACCACTGAGCCCCTGGGGAAGCCAACGTGTATTGAACACTTACCGTGTACCAGTCTCTATTCTAAGCATGTTACTGTATTTAATCATCTGATCTTCATGATGACCCTATGTGGTGGGCAATATTATTATTCCCATTTTTTATGGATAATTTTATAAGTAAGGAAACCGAGACAAATAAACTTTTAGTAACTTTGCCCAATGTCACCTCAATAGAAGGCAGTAGAACAAGGACCCAAATGAAACCCAAGGCCTTGTGCTCAAGCTTATACCTCCTGCCGCCAATCCTTAATGGACCTACTTGTTGACTTCTCAACTTGCATCTCTATTTATAGAAAAGCTCTGAATGGTAGACTCGTTCTCTATTTTATGACAAAGCCACCTGTATTAGGAAAGAGGGCAGGGGGTGGAAAGAAAAATAATTCCATACACATTTGTCATATAGTTTTCTTCATATTGCAAACTGTATTTTAACTTTTCTTTAAAAGTCATATCTTTGTTTTCATAGTTACAAAGGAAATACAAACTTCACAAAGGCTCAAGCACTATTGTCCTCTAAAGGCCCTATCTCATAACCATCACACTAGACTGCCTAAGCAAGTAATTACCTCTTGTTCTATTGCATACATAAAATTAAGTCATTCTGAACCGTGAACACAAAAATTATATGTGATGAGAAACTCGGGATTAGTATTGCTTAGTTACGGATCCCTGAACCTGTTTCTTTCTCTGGAGCTTTGTGGTTGGGTTTGTTTTATCAAATTTCATTAGATACCATTTTCAGGCAGTGCTTCATCTTCCCTGTTGACCCTTTGCAGCCTTCTTACCTTGTTGTTCACTGAATAATCCTGGGTCTTCTGGGCTTGTGAAGCGAAGTTGGTCAGTCATGTCCAACTCTTTTCAACCCCATGGACTACAGCCCGCCAGGCTCCTCTGTCCATGCAATTTTCCAGGCAAGAATCCTGGAGTGGGTTGCCATTTCCTTCTCCAGGGGATCTTCCTGAGCCAGGGATCGAACCTGGGTCTCCCGCACTGCAGGCAGATTCTTTACAATCTGAGCCACCAGGGAAAGTTCTTCTGGGCTTACCAGAGCCCTAAATTGTAATCACCACCCTCTCACATGCAGGCTTTAGAAAACCCGGAATGAGAAGGGGGCAAACTCCACAGCCTCTGGTGGCCAGAAGGGCCCGGCAGGCTGCACGCATCGTCTGGCTGGTGGGGACGGGGGAACGTGGGGAGGGTACCTCTGTCTGGGGACAGAGACTGCCAGCTGGATGGAGCTCCAGTTGGTGGTCCTCGCATATGGGGGCATCAGTTCATGAAGCCAGTTCTTTGTTTTTTAAAAACAGCTAGAAATCAGGTTTTGTTGTTTGTGTTTTAAGGGTTGTGCTGCACAGCTTTGGGGATCTTAGTTCCCGCACCAGGAATCGAACCCGGGGCTCTCAGCATAGAAATCTAGCTGTCCACTGCAGTGAATTCCCAGAAATCTAGATTTCTATGCAGATTTTTCCTGTTTAAAAAAAAAAAAAATTGACCTAAGTTTATAAAACAGTCCATTTGCCAAACAAAACACTCAGTTTATGGCCTCTGACCTAGAGTCAGGAGCAGCGGGGCCTCATGCTGTCCGGGTTGGGGAAGAGCTGTTAGCATTGCTTTCTTTGGGGGCTTTGCAGGAGCAAAGGAAACTTGGCAGATGCCTGAGGGTCTCAGACCATCCCGTCTTCTCTTCTTCTCTTCCATTTGGCTAACCTGAGAATGGATGCTGTGCCCTCCCCTTCTTTCAAAATCAACTTTCCTGCTTCTAATGTTATGCGTCATTCGAGCTTTAAGATCACCATCATTTCTACAAAGAGTTACACCTAAGTTCTCCCATGGATTAAGTGCAATAGATTGCATACTTGGATGTCAGGTGTATTCTGAACCTCTCATTTTCTGAATCCTTCTTTCTTGATCTGAAATCTGTCTCTCCCCACTCACACTTCCCTCTCCCCCGCTGAAAGTGTTATCAGCATCTTTGCTTGCAGGAATCTGACCAGGCAGTAGGTTCTGGATAAGCACTTTAAGAACAGCTGGGGAGAAAGAGACCACGAGTAGTTGGGGTTGTGTAATCCCATACAAGTGTCATTATCTGTTGCCAAATACTGAAAGAGAAGCTGGTTCCAACTGATCATCATAAAAGCTTTCCCAGCACTTGTGGTTGCAGAGGCTGAGGAAGCAGGGCAACCAGATGTACGTGTGGAAAGATGCAAGAGAAATCGGCTCTTGTGAGGTGAGGTGGTCCAATATATGGATTGTCAATACAATCAGTATCTTTTAAAGATAAAGGTTGTCAATATCTTTTTTTTTTTTTTAAAGAAAGCAAAGAATATTTGGAGACAACTTTGCTTGCATCTCCATCCAAATGTTATATTAAAAAGAAATCCAGGAGAAACCAGAGTCAGAAGGTGGGAATGCTGCTAACGGGAGGCATTAAGGTTTCAGTTTTTCCTTATTTTTTTCCTTTCCTCTCCCAGGTGGAGTTTGTTTGCTGTCCTGGTGAAGTTAAACAGTAGTGAAACAGTTGACTGCACTGGGAAATGATATTATTTTGAAACGAGGCAGGGTTTCCCGTGTGACCTGGTTAGAGGGAAAGCAGCTGGTCTGGGCCAGGCTTCTAGGCTCTGTGCTGCCGCAGCTCAGAGCATTGCTCGTCACCATAGGAGCGGGGAGTAATGAGAGCATGTCTGCTTTCAGATTCTGGTCGGGACTGCTGATGTTGCTGGGCTTCCTCTGCCCTACGAGTTCACCATGTGGCATTTCGACACACATAGAAATAGGTAAGTGCCAGCCTCTTGTCATGGTGCGAAGGACAGGGTATCTGTCAGAAATGTTACGGAGGAGATTTAGAATTGATCCCATGTGTTGACAGTGAGTTCCCCTGCTGCCCTGAACCACGCGGCAGTGAAGAGGAGAAAGCCCAGGCTGGAGTCGTCCAGGGCTGGGGACCATCAGAGTGAAGTCCATGGAGGGGAGGAAGGTGCTTTGGTCACTGGGTCTTGGGCTGTTTCTCTGCATGGGGAAATAGGAACTGGACAAACTTGGGGGTGGGGTGGGGGGGTGTTCCCATAAAGCAGAACTGACAGAATGGGAGGAGAGAAAATTGGGTGTAGTGTGGTAGGAGTGAGGAATCTATTTTTGTTTCTACATTTCCAAGTATAGGTAAAGGACCACATATAGCCACGGGATTGGGTCCCCTGAGTCAAACAGCTTTAGAGATGGTTGGCTTCGGGGAGAGCAAGGAAGTGGGGGAATTTGAGCAGTCCCTGGTATTAGAGATGCCCAGAATGATGGCAGGATTTGGGGAGCCCAGGGATACAATAAGCCGATGCCTATGAGCTCGGGGCAGGGCAAGGGCTGAGTGATCTGGATAAAGGTAGGTGGTAGCACAAAAGGTTGGTTCTTGGATGAAATGTATTCGTAAAGTTTTTTCACTCTTTAGATAAAAAAGTAACAATGTTTTAGTTATGCTACCTCTAGAAGATTCAAAGCAGAACAAGATTATGAATGAAAAATGAAAATTTGGGATGGGGGTAAGGAGGCTTAAGAGGAGGGGATATATGCGTACTTATGGCTGACTCACGTTGTACAGGAGAAATTAACACAACATTGTAAAGCAGTTATCCCCCAATTTAAAAAAAAATATGAAAATCTATCAGTGCAAAACAGAATATTGAGCTCTCCTGGACAAGAACTGTATGATCACAGAATTAGAAGGAATACTGGAGATAACTGAGTACAGTTCCTTTATTTTACAGTAGAGGAAATGGATCACAGAGAGCTTTCACAGCTAACTTGTTAGTGACCTAGTCTAGAGTTACATATCCTAACAGCTGGTCCAGTGTTCTTTCATGAAACATCTATGCTAAAGTGTTAGAATCATTTAACATCTAAAATGTTAGATATTAGAGTCATGAGACAGTGGAAAAGGGAATTAGGCGTAGGTTTTAATACCAGCTCTGCTGTAAACTACATGAGTGACTCTGGGCAACTCAGTTCCTCTTTCTCTTTTGCAAAATGAGGGGGCTGAACTTCTTGATGAATTCTAAATTATCTTGCACATCTAAGTTCTGTGAAACTGAAATTGCTAAAAACACTAGCGGTGGGCCAAAGAGGAACAAATATAAGTGGGAATATTCAACTTTTTAATCCCTAGAGTAAAAAATTAGCAACACAGATGAAATCTCAAAATTTTTAAAAATCAGATTGTTGCTTCCATTTCTTCAGTAGGTGCCAAACAAGAGTCCTAATGATTAATATGTTAATATATGTTAAATGTAAAATATAATATGTTTATGTGGACATAATTGAAGGCAATTCCAAATTTGCACAGATTGTGAGGATTCTTATACAAAAAGATTAAAACTTCAATAATTATTTGCCAATAATTTACATGATTTCATAAATATCCTGATTCTTGTTTTCACTTCTTATATAAGGCCTGTGTGGATGGTTGACATTTTTATGAGTTAATTAGAATTGGCCTCCTTCAGTGGTTTCACTTTGTAAACCTCTATAATCTTATATACCTGCTATTTGTGTCAGCTACGACCTTGCCTCTTTATGATATAAATGCTTATAATATAGTAGTGGCTAGATTTTTGTTGTACGAATTAAAACATTGGATGTGATTTCCAATAGAAATAAGGTGTCACATTTGACTGTGTCTTCACAAGGAGTGTTCTGTTATTGATACTAAGAAGATTGAGGGTGTGGGTGTGCATATCTTGTGGGTGTGCATATCTTATGGGCGTGGGTGTGTGGGTGGAGCACGTGGCTTTTTGAGACTTTGTTTTCTCCTTCTAAAGTAGTCCAATGATGAAAAAACATTTATGGGTCATTGATTCAGTCCATGGTTTAGACTCTGTATTGTACAGATAAACTTGGTTTGTCTACCCAGTGGGTTGTTGAAGCAAAATATAACTTCTGTTTTTGTCATGTATCAGTCATGAGCTCATCACTTAGCCTTTTTGTGTGTGTGTGTGTGTGATTCTCTTACCAAACCTATAAGGTGGATGTTATTTACTTAATTTTACATAGGAGGAAACTGAGGCCTGGAGAGGTAATGTAACTTACCCAAGGTCGTAAGAGTTAGTTAAGCAGAAACTGTAATTTTGATTTGTATTGTAGCAATATTGTTTGAATCTAATTATTGGCTAATGAAAATTACTAGTACAAATTGAATTTTCACTTCCCACTTCCTTGACAGTTACAGGCACAAAATTATATATTTTCCTTTTAAAATGATCTTAAGACAGTTCTGTTTTCAGTTATAGTTGGAATTAATTCATTTATATATTTATTACAGGGCACAGAGCTCTGGAGTTTCTCCACCTTCAGGATGGGAGTATTAATTACAAAGAGGTAAGAAGTTTGATTTTTTTTCTTTTATTCCTTGGACATTAGCTTTCCCTCATAGGTGACAAAGGTCCTAACAGATATTGAAATACCTAATTTCAGTAAAAAATATGTCATTTTTATGTCTTTAGAAAATACTAATATTTGGGGTTAAAATGTATATATACTTTAGCACTACTTGAATATATATAATAATGAAATATTTTATGTAAATTATTGTTTGAAAAATATTGGAAAGCATTTTTTTGAGAGTATACCTTATTTCTTTTTGTAAAGAAAGGTTATACTTAAGCCATTTTTTCCCACTTCTTATCTCTCTGTGTTACATAAAAATTGTATCATCATAGGAAGAAGTATTTATTGAGAAGTATGCTTTGAGATTTTGATTTTTCTGTCTACTGTATTCTTGGTATGACTAGCTGATGGCTCACCTTTATGCATCTTCAAACTAGTTGAAACCATTCTGGCACTATACACTATTTCTAATTCTATAGCTAAATAAAACTGTGTGACAAAGATTCTTAAATATTACCTTTGAGAGGAGTGGTTAAATTCTCTATGACTTCAGAATTGGATCAAATTATTTACCAGTGAGTGTTGATAATCCAATGTGGAAAGTAGGATTGATACAATAACTGAAATCTAGCATTGTTCATAATCTGCTTTTAGTCATTAGTTTCAGCTTCCTTACTCACCAATTTAACAGGCCCTCTAGGGAAAAAAAGAGTGTTTATATTTGTCATCTTCATTGACCCTGATAGAAAGTTGGTAGGAAAGAGGAGAAATAAGAATCTGCCTAATCCATGGTGTGAGCAATCAATCCTGAGTGTGCCCAGGATGCTTTTCTAGTAGAGGTATCCAAGCTTGTATCACTAACTTAAAACATGTTAAATGGACACACATCTTTCCCCTCAGCACTGATCCTAATCTGTACACTGATGTCGTCACTGGAAATGGCTTGAGTGCCTTGAGTGCGTCTCCCCCTTTTAACTCATGAAGACAGGGATTATGTTAGCTTTTTTCATGTTATCAGAAAATCTCTCTTCAAAGATTGAGGATCTGTTTCAGAGATTGAAGATACGTAACTTTGTATGTGGGAATCTTTAGAGTTCCTCTTTCTCTGTACTAAAACCTGCTCTCTGGTGAGTGCTGGACTCATTGGTCCAGCTTGGCGAAAGGATCCAGAGGGAGGCTACCCCAAGGGTGCTAGACGGATCCCACAGGCTGGCGGTGCTCAGCAAGCCCTGCACATTTAGGGTCTGGGTTCTGTTGGTTCTGGGATTCTCTTCTGCTGATCCATCCAGAGGTGACTGCATTTGTAATGACTTTAACTTACCGTGGCTTCCCTGATAGCTTAGTTGGTAAAGAATCTACCTGCAATGCAGGAGACCGCGGTTCAATTCCTGGGTCAGGAAGATCCCCTAGAGAAGGGACAGGCTGGCTACCCACTCCAGTATTCTTGGGCTTCCCTTGTGACTCAGCTGATAAAGAATCCACTCTCAATGTGGGAGACCTGGGTCCGATCCCTGGGTTGGGAAGATCCCCTGGAGAAGGGAAAGGCTACTCACTCCAGCATTAAGAAAGTGAAAGTTGCTCAATTGTGTCCGACTCTTTGCTACCCCATGGATTATACAGTCCATGGAATTCTCCAGGCCAGAATACTGGAGTGGGTAGCCTTTCCCATCTCCAGGGGATCTTCCCAACCCAGGCCTGGAGAATTCCATGGACTGTATAGTCCATGGGGTTGCAAAGAGTTGGACACAACTGAGCGTCTTTCACTTCTAACTTACCATAATCAAGTTAATAAGAGACTAATGCATACAGCTGAGAAAATCAGTTTATTAATGTATAAGAACTGTAAGAACGTAACTCACATTGTGGTAATTTTCTTGTTGCTGTTCAGTCGCTAAGTTGTGTCTGACTCTTTATGACCCCATGGACTGTAGCGGGTTTCCCTGTCCTTCACAATCTCCCAGAGTTTGGTGGTCATTATTGCCCTGATTTTAGTCCTTCTACAAGAATAAATAGATAAATATATAATAATTTATTAGATAAATAAATAAATGGTGTATTAACTAGGAAATCAGAACAATGGTGTTTGGTTGGTTGCTCTCTTTTCTTTGCTCTGCTCCTCCCTCACTGCCCATAGAATAGGTTTGGTCTTTTCTGATCATGGAACTAATAGAAACTCATCATAAAAAAATTTTAAAGTTATGTTATTTTGTAAACTTGCCTTTTTCGTCATTTACTATATCAGAGAGATCATATATTTATTCATGTCCATATCAATAGAAGTCTTTAGAATAATTTTTAATAACTACATAATTCTCTGTACCATAATTTATTTAACCAGTTCCCTATGTTAACTTTTTATTTTGAAATAATTTAAAATTGATAGAGAAGTTGAAAAAAAATTAGACAAATACTTTCTGTATGACTTTTACCTAACTCCCCCAATTGCTGATAACTTATCCTATTTGCCTTCTGAGCCGATGTATGCATATTGATTTTCCCCTGAGCCATTTGAGAGTTAATTGCTGAAGTGGTTGTCATCACCCTTCAAGGCACCCTTGTGTGCAGTAATTCCCTTGACCCTCAGGGGGTATGTCCCAAGATCCTCAGTGGGTGCCTGCAACTGTGGACAGTTCAGTTCTGTTGGGCCGCTCAGTCATGTCTGACTCCTTGCAACCCCATGAATCGCAGCACGCCAGGCCTCCCTGTCCATCACCAACTCCCAGAGTTTACCCAAACTCATGTCCATTGAGTCGGTGATGCCATCCAACCATCTCATCCTCTCTCATCCCCTTCTCCTCCTGCCCTCAATTTTTCCCAGCATCAGGGTCTTTTCCAATGAGTCAGTTCTTTGCATCAGGTGCCCAAAGTATTGGAGTTTCAGCTTCAGCATCAGTCCTTCCAATGAACACCAGAACTGATCTCCTTTAGGATGGACTGGTTGGATCTCCTTGCAGTCCAAGGGACTCTCAAGAGTTTTCTACAACACTACAGTTCAAAAGCATCAATTCTTTGGTGCTCAGCGTTCTTTATAGTCCACCTCTCACATCCATACATGACCACTGGAAAAGTACTTCATATATACAGTATTTTCCTACACATATGTACATCCTTATGATAAAGCTTAGTTTATGAATTAGGCACAGTTAGAGAAACAACAGTGACTAAAAATAGAACAATTATAACAATATATGTAATAAAAATTATGTAACTATGGCCTTCCTATCAAAATAATTTACTGAAAAGTTTATTGTCTTTTCCATTTTATCTAAGCACTTAATTGTATACTGTGGCTATAACTTTTGCAGTTTGAGGTGCTGCAGCAATCCTAGCACAAATTTCCTTTTCCTCCACAATTTCATAGCTAGAATACTTCTTTCCTTATTAAGTCTACAGCGTTCACCTTTTCACTTGGAGAAAGCCCTTGGCAGCTTCTCTTTGGCATGTCCAGATTGCCAGTCCCTCTCCTCTGTGCTTTGGGGCCATTACTGGGTGAGTGCCGAGGTCCAGCCCCGGCAGGACCAGAAGTACCCAAGGGATGAGTGGCGTCGGCGAGGAAGAAGACAGACAGACAGACACACACACACACGACGGTTGCATAGAAGAGGTAGCTTTTTTTTTTATTTTTAGGATAGCTCAGTTTTTATAGAATGAATGTTACCTCCCCCTTAAGTCACCACATATTACATCAGATATTGGTTTGTGCTTCTGTCAATATTTTTTTCCCCATGTTTTTCCCCTAAGCATTCATCTAGAATGTTTCCAATTATAGGGTTTATACTTAAATGTCCCGTACATAATCTTCTTGCCTCAATGGCCTAACATTCTCACTCTACCAAAAACAATGTTCCACAAATCTCAGGTATACTGTAAATTCTTTGGACAATAAAACAATATATGGGAAGGGTCACAGTAACATGTTTGACATTTCTGAAAATAGTACCATGAGAAAAACCTGATATTTTTCTTTACCTGAAACCACAAAACCTCAATTTACAACGATTAACTATTAAACAGCAAAAACACCTCTAAAGCAGCAAAACACCTCTATTAATAGTAAGATAATGGCAGTAAAGCTGGTTAATATAAGTCTTCTATTAATATCCCTATATACCCCTTTTTCTAATTTTACAAAAATACCCATAATATCCCATGTTGTTGAAAGAAAGGGAAACAATGAACAATAGCACCAAAGAAATAGCAATAGTGAAAACCCTTTCAACCAAGGAGCAAGTAAACTAAAGCAGTATATCTACTTCTAAATCTAAATACCTCTACTCTTTTCTATTCTAGAACATTATAATCTTTTAAGCAAGCAGCCAAACTATACCTGTGGCCTTTTCTTTTATGACTTGATGTTTATGGTCATGTCCTGAGCCAGAGCAATCTTGAGCATTTCCAAAAAGGCTTGGACTTTTCCAGCGAGGCCTCATTACTATATATTATCATTTCCAAAAATTAATAGAAAGCCCAACAACAGACAAAAGGAAGAAAGGGACATACTGGGCCCCTGGGAAAACCTCGAGGGGAAGAGCTGCCTTGCAGTTTCCTTTCTCGTCCTGGCGGCTCCGGAGGGGACACATTGGGCCCCCAGGGCAGCCCCATGTGAGGAAGAGCTGCCTTGCAGGTTCCTCTCTCGTCCCGTGACCTTGTCGTGGACTGGGCACATCCCGGCGGCTCCCAACAGGTAAGGTAAGATCTATTCAAACACAAGCACTGTACTAGCTAGACCGCAGGTCTGATGATGGAGACTAACAGGCAGGATATAGTGGACAAAGGGATGATTGATAGAGCAGGATGGTGCGAGATTTCATCATGATACTCAGAATGGTGCCCAATTTAAAAATTAGGAATTGCTTATTTCTGGAATTTTCCATTTGAGATTTTAAAAATTATTTACTTTTGGCTGTGCTAAGTCTTTACTGCTGCGCGCAGGCTTGCTCTACCTGTGAGGAATGGGGGCTCCTCTCGTTGTGGCGCACAGGCTTCTCTTT